GAGCGAAGCTTTACATCAACGAGAAGAAATCCCATCTATTCTGCACGGAAATTAACTTCTTGGGACACAAAATCTCCGCTGCAGGAATCGAGGCCGACGGCAAGAAGGCCGACAAAATTGCCAACTGGCCGACCCCAAAATCTGCCACAGAGGTCCGAGCATTCCTCGGACTGGTACGTTACCTGTCCGCCTTCCTCCCTAATCTGGCAGAACATACCTTCATCCTGAACAAGATGACCATGAAAGATTGCGACAAAGACTTCCCGCCATGGACCGAAAAAGAACAGGCCGCCTTCGACGCAATAAAAGCGATTGTTGTGAGTCGCGACTGCCTTACCTCAATTGACTACGCAAAGATGCCAGACAACAAAATCTTCGTGACGACGGACGCCAGCGAAACACGGTCGGGGGCAGTGCTCTCCTTCGGGAAGTCATGGGAGACTGCTCGCCCAGTTGCCTTCGACTTGATGACCTTCAAGGGCGCGGAGCTCAACTACCCTGTCCACGAAAAAGAACTACTGGCCATTATCCGTGCCTTGAAGAAGTGGCGGTCAGATTTATTGGGTGTTCCATTTCTCATATATTCTGACCACAGAACCTTGGAGAACTTTCAACGACAGAAGGACTTATCCCGCCGTCAAGCAAGGTGGATGGAATTCATGTCCCAATATGACTTCAAGATAATCTATGTACAAGGCGAGGCCAACTCCGTTGCAGACGCGCTGTCAAGGCTACCTACGGAATCGACCAAGAGCAGCACACGAGCGGAACGAGAAGCACTGGGCCCTTGGGACATGGACCCAGAAGACGAACTGTGTATTGTTATGGAACGACCGCTGACCTCGCCTTGCGACATGGCCGAAGGACTGTGCGGGACAAGTTCGATATGTGCAACAAAGCTCGCGATCAATGCAGACAAGGACTTACTCGATGCCATCCGTAGTGGATACAAGCTGGACCCGTGGACCGAAAAACTACGCTCCGCGAAGGACAGAATGAACGGGATCGCAGAAAAAGACGGCTTGTGGTTTGTAAGTGGCCGTTTGGTCGTTCCGAGAGTGGGTAACGTGCGCGAGGTTTTGTTCCAGCTGGCACACGACGCACTAGGCCATTTCGGTTTTGACAAAACATACGGCTCCCTCCGGGGATCTTATTACTGGCCGAACATGCGAAAAGACCTGGAGGAGGCATACGTACCTGGTTGTGCCGACTGCCAACGCAACAAGAACACGACAAAGAAACCGATTGGCCCTCTGCACCCCCTACCCATCCCGGACGCCCGTGGAGATTCGGTGGCTATCGACTTCATTGGACCCCTGCCTGAAGATGACGGTAAAAACTGTATTATCTCCTTTACTGATAGACTAGGGTCGGATGTGAGGCTGGTAGCTGCACGCACGGACACCACTGCCGAAGACTTGGTGACCCTCTTTTTCAACAACTGGTTCTGCGAAAACGGCTTACCCCTGGACATCGTATCAGACCGTGACAAACTTTTCGTATCAAAGTTCTGGAAGGCGCTACATACACTGACTGGCATCAAACTAAGGTTGTCGACGTCGTATCACCCGGAAACGGATGGAGCCAGTGAACGAACGAACAAGACCGTTAACCAAGCCTGTCGCTTCATCGTCGACCGAAACCAGAAAGGCTGGGCGAAAGCCTTACCAAAGATACGATTCGACATCATGAACACGGTAAACACCTCAACCGGGTTCTCGCCATTTCAGCTTTGCTTGGGCAGAAGCCCTAGATTGATACCCTCACTACTGACTAAACAGGAACCTGCAGATGCTTCAGCCGAGGAGAAGAACGCCTGGGATCTAATCCGAAAGCTGGAAACAGACACTTGGGAAGCCCAGGACAACCTCCTGAAGGCTAAGATCTCCCAGTCATTTTTTGCAAACAAAAACCGTCAACTGACCTTCCCTTTTAAGGTCGGAGATAGAGTCGTGCTTTCGACGGTGCACCGCCGGCAGGAATACAAAGCACCAGGGAAGAAACGCGTAGCAAAATTTATGCCTTGTTACGACGGACCATACAGGATTACGGACGTCGACGAGGACCATTCAACCGTGACACTCGACCTCCCAAACTCACCAAATATGTTCCCGGTATTCCATACATCTCAAGTCAAACCTTTTACGGAAAACGACGCCACACTGTTCCCGTCTCGGGAGTTCGAAAAGCCTCCGCCAATCGTTACCGAGAATGGTGAAGAATATTACATCCGAGACATAATTGACGAACGACGGCGCGGACGCGGTTGGCAATACAAAGTCCGCTGGGAAGGCTATGCACCGGAAGACGAGACGTGGCTACCAAGACGAGAACTGGAAGACACCGAAGCGCTGGACGTTTGGTTAGCGAAGAGGAGGTCGGACGTTTGAATGTAGTACGTTTTCCCCTTCCTCCCGCCGGCTGGTAGCTTTTTTCCCTACGGGGTTGTTTTGATGCACCCGTGCCTGGTCTTGTTGATAGATTTCTCGCACGGGCAGCGCCACAGCCCTGTTGCTACATTTTGGGTTGAAACCTTTAGTTTTTATTATGGTTGGTGTTTCAGAGGAGGGGAGGGTGTAATCCTGATGGATCACATGTGATGCTGACACGCGCTATTGATGCGTATTTACTGATCGACCGTGCCCTATTTATTCACGCGACGGACATCCCTTTTAGATAGAGTACTCTCTGATCTTGTACCTCTCTGTTCTCTACTCGAACGTATACACGCTGGTCTCATTCTACCATTTGATGTGAGTGTTTGCTACCTACCCTGTAGGATAGATTTACATGCTTCTCTGCTCTGCGTAAGGTAAGGAGACTGCCCAAGGTCTGTAATGCAGGTCATGTCCGTGGCGTCAAGTCCCTGTTGTCGGGATCCGTTATGACACAATACAGCGTTGGCGAAAGGCTTCAGAACCGGCCAGCTGGCCGTTTCTAACCTCGTCCTTCTCTGTGAAGGTCGACGATGGCACCACAAGGTGGTGGGTGGCCTTCAATCCTGCATCACAGACACGGAGTCTCACAAGTTCAGCGCAGGTTCTTGGATTAGCCCTAGAACATGTTTTGTTTAAGTAAAGGTAAGCGCGCGTATATTATGTGGTACAAGAGGTTAGGACAATAATTAGACACAAACCAAGACATATCACATTTAGCTAGTGATCTTCACCCAGGGCCCCAAGGCAATTGGATTCTCTGAGATGATTACGGAGAGATATACAGATACGCAAACCCTCTTGCCATACCAGACGTCGCACGGACATGTCCTCCGATGCGACATTGGCATGCATCGGCAGATGCACGTCCAGATGGAGAACGTACTTGGGGGGGAAAGGCAGAGGAGGCCCCTCACACGGAATGTGATTCATATGAGGGGGGGCCCCATTAACAAATGGCGCTTCGTTGTCTAATTCATGCGGGTTGTGGTCGAGCAGGTGGCGCATCACATCCTGGTTCTCCGCCTCTTGCCAGTCCATGCCATACTGGGCTAAATCCACCGCTAGTATGTCCTCTTCCTCTGGCTCAGGAATGAACTGCCTGATACCCCGTGGGCTGTCCTGGACCATACTGAAGAAGAACATCTCTCTAGGGCTCTGGCTGCTTTGGCCTTGGATCTGCATGGAGTGGCTGTTCCAGGTAGCAACCCAAGCCTCGGCATCGCGATGAATCAAGGGCAGGAAGAGATGATGGAGGAGCCAGATGTGGACCGGATCGACAGGACTAAGGCGATAGTGGACTTCGAGGTCGATGAAGAAGTTCTTCCACTTCTGGCCAAAGCCACGAGTGACGTCGTACCACAGGCGTTCGATATGTGTATTGTGGATGCTTCTACGGGAATACTAAGTAAGAGCCATGTAGTGATGAGAATACGCACTGACCTCCCATAGATGTACGAACCACGATGAGAGCCACGGTTCTCATCCATCCAAGCAGCGACATTCACGTTTTCTGTCCCGTGGTCACCTCTAACCCGGCTCGGGATGCCATACTGAGGAATGGCCTTAAGAAACAAGTCCAGGACGGTTTGCGCGCAGTTGTTGGTGTTGACTTCCATGCCAGTCACGAGGCGTGTATGTCCATCTATGAAACAGTGAATGACTAACTTGTATTTGATCAGGCCTGAAAAAAAGTCAAGTTAACTTGTAAATGGCGACGATATGTGTGCCTACCATGCTGGCCGTCGTGATGCCAGAGGGAATTGGCACCTGCTACTTTGTATACACGGCGATGGATCGAACGGTCCCCAAAGATCGTAGGAGCTCCGTGTACTCGAAGGTACGACTCGCAGATGCGTTCTCGGGTGACGTTCATCCCAGCTGCATGCAGGCAGCCGTCGATCATTCTTCGCCCAAAGTTTGGAAACCGCTGCAAAATGTCTTGCATCCCACCATCCAGTTCGTCATCGGACAGGTTCTGGGGTCGAACAGGTGGCTGGTTCCAGTCGACAGTGACTGTTCCGTCGGGGTGCTCTTGCCTCTGGAAAACCGGTTGCCCAGGTACGCCCAGTCCGTGGTCAAGAATCCGACAATGAACCGTCTGAGCGGAGCAACCAAATAGAGGTGCCAGACCTGTTGGACTAGGCCGAATCTCTAATGCTGAAGCTAGGACATTCTCGTTAACCACAACCCTTGGACATCCCCGTTGACCTGTTTTGACACGCTCGCTAATGAGGATGGGCGCGTTATCTGGCGGGTCAGCGGACTGAAGAGAGGCCGAATCGAGAAGCTGGGTCATGACAGCTGTGGACCTTGTCAAGGTTGTCCATTCGTCTGGTGGAAAGCTTGCCTGATGCTATGGGAGTAATCATGGAAGGAACTCGGGCTAGGAGGTAGGTAACATACAATTTCTGCTGCCTCCAGAAACCGTAGAACCTCCCGTCTCTGATTACCCAGCTGAGTGGCGTCGCCTATTTGCGTGTGTAAAGCTCGAGTCACTGCCCGGCTAAGCTCATGGTAAGAGAGTTGGAGGTTGATGACAGCCAGAGGTGTGCAGTTTTCCTCCATGGAGGGGTGAGGAAGAACTATGTGTCCAAGAAGGGACACGCAAAAAAATTCGAAAAAAACACCCAGTCACATGTTATCCACCTAACAGATAGGAACAAGGGCTCCAACATGCATCAATTTACGTGGTGGGATACAAGAACGGTCAACTACTGGGTACGGCTGTGGGTCGCCTGTGTATATACAACGTGGACATCCCCTGCGAATGAAGAGAGGGAGGTGGCAAGTAATGCACGTGTGTCTGTGTCAAGCTCATAGTTCCTCACATCCAAACCACTAGCAGGACCTGACATGACAGCGCCCGCAGGATTCTGAAGCATCCTGATTAACTTCCAAGTACGTGCCTGGAAGTCCGACAGGTGGGTGAGGCCCTCTAGGTAAAGGACGGCGGTGCTTGTTTTATTTTTGAGCGTCGCCATATCATTGAATTGGTTCTGACTCAGCTCAAGCCATTGTAGGATATTTCCCTGGGAGAAGCTGGTGCTGCCGGGAACTGTCACGGTGGCATTCAAGGCTGAGGCCATGGAAAATGCCTGCAAGATGGTGGCAGCGACGTGGTGGCCGTACCAATTCTGGATGAGGGACTTCGCCTTCCAAAGGGTGTTGGAGGTGCAGCACAAGAGATCCCTGTACCGGTCGCGCAAGGGCCCGTAATGGTGGGCCAGGTAAAGGTCCCTCTCCAGAAGGGGGTTGGGTGACATCTGAGAATGGCAGGTTAACTATCGTTGCAGGTGCAGTGACCAGAGATAACACGTACAGCAGGCAGAACCACGGCCGGCTGGGTGTCGTTGTCGCCCAACGGTTCCTTGTAGAGATAGAGGACATAGGCCGGCGTCGAGTCGGGGTTGAAGCTGGTAAGAAGCCGTGTTTGAAGAGTAGAAGGGTGGAGAGGAGGCAGCTGCAGAGTGCCGACTACACCCGGCAAGTCTGAGAGATAACCAAACTCCTGGAAACCGTGCTGCAAACCATGGATGAAGAGTTGTTGGAGAGGGACAGGGTCATGTGCTGTGGCAACGTGCATGCAGTCTGGCCTAGCAGAAATGCTTGCCAGCAGGCAAGCTTGTGAAGAGCCCGCACCGTGAAGAAGTTGTATGACACAGTTAAGAGAAGGGGCGACCGTCGGGGAAGGATCGGTGACTACAAACACATGCTCATAGAGTCTGCTCTTGATCACAGCCATGATTCTGCTTCCCACTGTTGCAGACCCTGACATAGGACGTGATTAAAAATGTCTTTGCCGACTCGGAGGAGCAGACGTACCGGCAGGCTCAGCAGCATCCATAGCAGCAGAAGGAGGAGGGGCAACCACCTATGGTTGGGATCCCATGTCCACCTGCAGAGAGTGGCCTTCGTCCATGGATCCTGTGACCGTAACAGAAAGTGGAATGGTCTCAGGCTGGTGAGTTGGGCTGTGCGGAAGCGCAGGCGGTCTGCTGTGGGGTGGCATGGGTTGCGATGGCAGGTCTTGTGTAGGTGGAGGGTGCGCGAGCTGTGACAAGCCGAGACTCTGTGCCAGCTCTTGCAAGGCGGATGCGGCGGGGTCTTGAGGATTGATGTGCTGGGGCGAGACTTGAACCCTTATGTATGACGATAAGGTAGACACTTGCAGATGGACCGCGGTAAATTTCGCAAGACAAGAGACCAAGGAAGGTGAGACAAACGGGTACTAGCGAGGCTGACAATTGGACTGGCATGTCTCCTCCATGGTGCACCTCAAGCGGGGTCTGCGATGTGCTCTTGCTCAGCAGTCGTAACGGCCTCCGCGGACGGACCTGGTTCTTCCAGAGCGGTGCCAGAGCCGGTGACTGGGATGGCCTGTTGCTCAGGAGGAGGGGCCTCTGGGATGGCTGGTTGCTCAGGAGGAGGAGTCTGATGAGGGACGCTGGCTGGAGTGAACAATACAGGTGAGTCGGGTGCTCGTGGTCGGCGTGAGGTGCGTGCGCTGCGCCTAGTGCTGGAAATGCCTGCATTTGGATCAGGAAGGTGATCAATCTGGTGGGCAGACTCAAGGGGTTGAGCCAGGGTGCTTGAAGGTGGGACTTGGCCATGACTGCGCCGACAAGGACCTACGCGGTGAGTGAGGGATGAGGGGAAAATCAGCAGACGAATGATATGACGCACGACTCCGGGTTGCTGGAGGAGAGTACTCTGCCTCGTCGTCTGGAGAAGAAGTTACTTAACAATGGATTACAGTGGTTATTATGCTCACCATCACTGGGTTCCATGTTGGGAGATGAGGGTAATATTTTAAGGGACTAGTCTTTTCTCAGGTGTGGACAGCCTTTTTATTCATTTACAAGGTAAGCTTTTTCTCAAGCCCCAAGGGCATCATAAATTTTATCAATGGTATATCCGTAAACACTTTGACAAATCTAAACTAGCTAGATTGTAATCTGCTGCGCGCAGGAGAAGTTGTCCGTGGAGCCACCTATCAAACGGAACACTGTTTTCTGAGAACAGAAGCTCCACGACTTCCATGTTGATCTTGACATCAGCCTGCCTGAAGCAAGAATGGAAGGAGATGAGGTGGGCGCTTCTGTCGACTCTGGCGCTGCCAGGAGAGAAGCGCTACTGGATGACATGAGTAACTTCCGTCAAAAAAGGAAATTTGGTAAACACTCACCTCCAGGGACCAGTCAATTATCTCAATGGGAACAGAAGGCGTACCGACAAAGGCCTGCAGGAGGAGGGACGCTCGAAGGGAGGTGTTCGCTGTCTCCTTGTCAAAGTCAGCCACTGAAACAGTGGTGCCACACGCGCTTTGCGGATGCCCGGGGATGGAGAGGAATGACCGTACCCGCATTTTGAAGACCTTACTAAATTGTTGAACCCAGTCCCCATGGGCAAGAGCGGCTGGCTGAAGGGTGAACCAGAGATGCTCCAGTACCATGTTGACCGGAACTTGGTGGACCCGATACATGGAGCTGATCAGCAGGGCTATTTGGTCGAACGTGCGATGGCTGGAGAGCTACGAATGAGGAGTCAGATGTGGATTTTAATGGCCAAATTCACCTTACCTCTGTGATGAAGTTTCGCGAGGGCCCAAGCGGAACATTCAGCCCCCAGCAGAGTGCCCGAACCTCTGGAGACGAGACAACGGTGGCCTTTGGGGATCCAAAGACGAGGACGAACGCAATGCATCCAATTACCTCCATGTGGACCCCACCTGTATGAGAAGTTGGTATGCTGTCAGGCTGAACGTGAAATTGGTAAAATTCTACAATTTCGGAACTGGTTACTCACCGGTATCTGGCCATAGTTATGCAGTACTCCAAGGGCCGAGGCGTCCAGGGCGTCACTGGACCCAAGGCGCAGCCAAGGGTCAAGCACATGCGCAAGCCCTGGGTCGATGATGCGAATGACGTCAGGAGAGAGGTGAAATGTGTTCTCCCCCAGCACAAGGAGGAGGACCAGCCAGAAGTTCACGACAATGGCCTGCCCAAAGGAGACCATGTGTACAGCAAGAAGAGTTGTGTGTGCAGCTAATGTCAGCAAGCGCTCAGGGTTCATGGATTCCATTGAGAGAGGAGAGAATTCGGGGACCAGATTATGATCCCCATATACAGATCGTGACCAGATCTCCATGGGGGCCTTGTCAGTCTCAATCAGAGCAAGAGCACAATGCAGGGAGGTGCGAAGAGGAGCAGATCCGGAACTCGACCTGCTGATCAAAGAGGATGAATGAGAATGAGCTAAAATGACAGAGAAATGAAACAAACGCTTGGTACGAGAAAGCGCGTGTGCCCCGCAGGAGCCTGTACAAGGGCTGGTCTACGAATGTTGATCGAACGCCCATAGGATTGACAAAAGCCGGGAGAGCTCTGGGCCCATCACCCAGTGAAAGGAAAGATGGAGGGTATCGACCGGCCTGACGCTTGAGAATGTAAAGAAAGAGGCGGGCACCAACTTCCACCGAGGTTACATGCACCTCACCTAGAGAAGCTATTGATACATTAGAAGGAGCGATGTGACGGAGGAACACAGTGATCTGCCGTGGCCCATACGCGATGACTGCCTGACCCTGAGGCGTCACCGATGTGATGGAAGAAGGGCAGCATGGCAGGATTCCCTCAAAGGGACTCATAGGCATGTCATCATCAGAGTCTAGGGGAGGGAGGCCATGGGGTAAGGTGTCGCTAGGTTCATCAGAGTCATCAATCTCGATGACTTTGTGAGAGGGGGGGGGATGGCTTGCTCTATCCGATGACACTGGGGAGGAGGCGGTAAGGGATCTGCAGGATCCTCCACGCGCCGACGTATAGAGGGCTATATTGGGTAAGCAACCAAAGCAGTACAATGTCAAATAAAGTGAGACTTACTACCACAGGTGCGATATCCATGACCTGAAAAGAACGACAGCATTTAGGAAAGGTTTGAGAGAACAAATGGTGACGGATAACTCACCGCGGAAGGTGGAGGTGTGGATGGCAGGAGAGGAGGGGGTTGAGCAGGGCAGAGTTGAAGGCAGCGGGCAGTGTCTGCAGGAACGTGTGGCTCCAACGATGCGAGGACCAACACCCGGAACCCCCAGCAGGCATGATGCTGGTGAGGGCATTCAGCATCAACAGGCAAAGGGAACCGTTGAGAAACATTGAGGGTGGCCGTGACAAGACCAAATGCAGGACCTAGAAGGAAGGAATCAATTTCTGTTCAGGAATAGAAGATGGTTGACATACAAAGTATGATCAATTTGTGTCCTGGAAACAGCGTGAGAGGACAGGGATACGCCCTATATGTGCGCTGCAAAGTGGGAACCGTGAAGGTGTTGTCGGTGATCACATTGGTGGGCTTGAGGCTGATGTGGTTGTCGTGTTTTTTGGGGGCAAGAACAGTCCAAACCCTGTCAGACAGAGTTGGTGGGTTGCTGGGGGATGGGCAGGAAGGAAAGTGAATGGAGTGATGCTCCAGGTGGGAAAGGACAGCAGAGTCGAGGCGCTCAATGAACTCAGAAGAAGAAGTTGATACGATGGCAAGAGAAAAGACAAGATCGCAGCTGTGAAGGTGCTGCAGAAGAGTAGGTAGGGAAGGGGCAGAAAAGCCTATTTTCCAGATATTTGGGACGCCGTGAGGGATATGGGAAGAGGGAGAGAGCTGAACGATGCAGATGAATAGATGTATGAGGCTTAGAAAAGACGCAGACGAACCAGGGTTGGAATCAGAACCACTAAAAAATCCTGGTGGGTATTAGCTGTGGAGGATGGCGCTCGCGAGGAGGATGGCGTGGTCGGATAGGGACGGGGCCGAGGACTTGAGCGTGCGAGGTTGAGGCCGCTCCGGGCGGCATCGCTGTGTGCCTCAGCCATCCGGGCCATACTTGTGGTATGTGTGGCATTGGCGCCAACAGGAGTAGATGGAAGCCAAAATTCTGAGATTGGCGGGGCAGTGGGTTGAGTAGCTTGGAGAATGCCTGAGAGAACAGAAGGGAGGGACATGGAAGGGAAAGATGAGACTGGCGGAGGGAGATAATGTGCTGCAATAGATGAAGGACCGCTGGACGGCAGGAGAGACGCTGGAGTTGGTACACTGGGGAAGGTTTAGTTGATCTTCAAATGGTAAGAGGTGAAGTCTTACTTGAGAGTCCTCCAGGCAGGTCGGCCGTGGCCTGGCCAGGTCCCTTCGCAGAGGCATATTGCTTGAGGCCCGTAGATTCCGTCAACCTGTGGGGTGAATGTTAAGCGCTGAGCGTGGTAAGCTAAACATAGACCGAAAAAGTTACATACTGGCTCATACCCAGTGCAGCGCCGAAGGGGACACCCTCCTCTCTCAAGGTACTTGAAGGGATGATGCTGAGGAAGCTCAGCAGGGGTGTGGCTCTTCAGGGGGTGGCTACAGGAACAGATTTCCTGATAGTGAAGCGGTTGCTGAAAAATAGGCATAAGCCTCTGCAGTGCTGGTGAGGATGAGCGACTTACAATGCGAATGTCATGGTTAGGGCCAATGACGCAGAACTCCCTGCACTCGCAATCTATACAGAGGCCACGAAGGACGAGACGATAGGCGGGTTCAGACATGGGGGGGTAGAGAGTGAGAAAAGGTATGGCCCAGTTGAGGGTTCTGTCCGGTTTTATAGGTGATGGCCCCGAAAGGTTGTGCAGGGCGGGCAGATAAATTTATTTTCTTTGATGCGCTAGGGTGCTGGGCCACCTGAGTTTATCTCCAGGACGCGTCAGAGCACATGGCATGGCATCATTGAGGTGGCTCGGGGTCTCAGAGATTCTTGCAGAAACTGGAAGAATAGGCCAGGCCATGTTAAAAGAAATTCCCATTTGTTTTGGCCTCTGTCAACAGATCGGCGACGAACGGTGACATTCTGCGGGGTGCCATTCTTTAATTATCATTAACATCTTGCCAAAAAAGGTAACTTTCTGTGCCGATCGTTGAAGAACGTTGACGTTCTTTGACGATCGTGACCGTTCCTTGGCTATCGTGACCGTTCCTTGACTTTCTCCCATGTTCTGCGATAATTGTCACTCAATTTCATTTACTTTGTATTTTTGTCCAGCACGGACCACCATACCCAACTGCAACCACTGATTTTCAACAGGATGTTTGTGATGCTTCCCTGGACATACTCCAGGTCGCTCAACAATCATGAAGGTGTGCTACTTGTTCCTTGCACCTCAAATATGAAAATATCATTCTGACTTGCAAATTAGGCCAAACGAAAGCTCGGTGATGAAGCATCCTTTTGAAAAGCTTGATCGATGGACATACACGGATTCTGGTGTCTGCCTATGGGTCCAGGATACAAGATGCCGGCGATGATGCTCTAAAAGTGTTTTGTATAAACAGTGTGCGATAAGTGGTTGTATTTATGGTGTATTTTTCGAATCCTGCAACATTTTGGGCAACTTGTGGATGCCACAACTTTGCAATTTCTCCCCACCAACTTCCGAGTCACGGGCGCAACTTCCCTGGCTTTCCATGCTATGGTCGTCGACGGTTTCCAATTCGGGAATTGCACGAATACTCCAGGGTACTTTGGCGGCTACCCAAACCCTTAGCGTGGCAACCTGCAAGGTACGGGTTTTTCGCACGTGTCGAGGGTTGGGATGGGTCGGCGGGTATAGCAACCTATGCGGGTCATCGTGCACCTCGCAAAAGCATCATGAAGTGTCAAACGAGTCACCCGACGCGGCTTGTTTCTCATAGGACACCTCCACCTCACCCTATCCACCGGCCGCTGCTCCTATTGTCGCACCTTCTGTTCAGTTACGCACCTGCAGAACAGGAAGGATTAAAGAGAACGATGTGGTACAGAGATCATGAAATTGGCTACTTCATGGAACAAGCTACCCAGCCGCAAACGCTTGGCTACGGTCTTACCGACTCGCCCGCCGGACTGCTGGCTTGGATCTACGAAAAACTTGTCTCATGGACTGATAGCTATCCTTGGGAAGACGATGAAGGTACGTTTAAAGTTGGGACCTGGTTTGAAACACGCTGACCAGCACATCAGTTCTCACATGGGTTTCCATCTACTGGTTTTCACGGGCTGGCCCTGCTGCCTCCCTTCGTATCTACTACGAAGTCAACAAGGCATACCCGACTCTGTCTACCAAGGCAGAGCTCACGGAGATTCCTATGGGCCACTCGTACTTCCCCAAGGAACTGATTGTCCTTCCTAGAAGGTGAGCATCGATGTTTTGCGTTTCGATACAACGATGTGCTAATCGGACATTATCTCCAGGTGGTTGAAGGCATCAAATCTCGTGTTTGAATCAAGTCATGAAACCGGAGGTCATTTCGCCGCCCATGAGAAACCGCAGGAACTCGTCGATGACCTCCGGAAAATGTTTGGAAAAGGTGGACCGACCTTCGGCGTGGTGTCTGGAAAGACTGGCTATGCGTGAGCATCTTGAGCAGGCCCTGCTATGTAGTATGTTTGTCATCGACACTTCATCAGCAAACCCTGATTTTTTGAGGCCAAAAACATCGAAATTGGGCATCTATGCAGAGCTGCACGGTGCTACACAGCACTCCATAGAGCCATAGTAAGGGTTCTCTTCTGCATAGCAACGGCGGTCGATTACATCAACCTATGGAGCACCGTGTAGCACCATGTAGCACCCATGGAAAAATCAGGTTTTGCTGATGTTCACCCTATGAAGTTAGCTTCTTCCCGTTCCCTGCTTTCATGTTTCTCTTCCTCTTCTCTGTTTCGCTGCACTTCATTCCTCTTTAGCTATACAAAACCCAATGAAACTGCTGCCGCACGAATACCTGCTTGGTTATTACTTCCAAAATTGGCTATCTCGGCTGTATCCGCCCGCCCAGTTGGTTTCCTGTTCTGTGACTGCGTTGTTTTGTCACACCACCACCGATTGATACTAAGTCTTTGATACTTACAACCGACACATTGGGCTCATACTTAAGTCAGTATCCTCTAACCCTCCTATCTGATTGTATCGCCTGCTTCAGTGGACAATGCCAAAGCGCAAGCAGATTCGTGCGGAAGGCCGAGGTACATCGGATGACACGGATGATTCTAGCAACGAAAGCGGGAGCCCTTCAGACAGGCCGGATGGAAAGAGAGTCAGATGGCAAGGCAAAGGCGGGTTGACGCTTCAGGACGAATACTCAGAGGCAAGTTCGGACGAAGAGGTTTCCGAACCCTCTGAAAAGGTGAGTGTAAGCGCAATCCAACTTTTTATAGCATGTTGACAAACCCGACAGACCCAACAGACCTGCCTAGCTGCTCTGTGCTCTCAGTATGGACTTATGTAGTCATCCATTTTATATCTTCTAAACGGAGTCCATAAAGCGGCAGCCTCGGATGCGCATACTACGACCCAAATACAAGGGTGCTGTCCCTCCTAGAAGACACACAGGACACTCTACACTTCGATCTTACACAAATGTGTAAGGATTTCATAGAACCAACAACTCCACACTGACAATCATTTAGTGCTGGAACAAGTCAATGCGGACGTCGTTTTGACAAGCACCAGGTCAGACGACGAATTCATTGATGCGTTGAACGGTCACAGTACGTATAAGATCTCTCTTCAGTGCATAAGTATATGCATCACCTTCATCGCTTTTAGTGGAAGGGAAGGATTCCCTGTTTCAAATCCGCCCTTGCAAAGATTTCGCGGCTTCTAAGGGAAAGAGTAGACTTTTATCGCTGAGCCGTTTTGCCACACTAGCATCCGACGACCATGTCCTTCCACCATCTTCTGACACTGGCTCAGACTCCTCTCGCGACCGTCCTCACAATGCTTATGATTTCATGCGGTCGAGACGTGAGGTAACAGGCGACCCAACGGCCAAACGCTGGAATGCCTCCGTTAGGTTGTCCAACTTCGCTTCAGTTGACTCTGCCCCTCTTTGTGTAAGCGTCTCTGCCTCGAATCGTTGGTTCCCATGTTCATGCCTGGTAGATGGCTTCTGTTGGCGCACTTCTGGATCATATCGTTCGAGAACGTGCCTCAACCGATTTCGATGACGACGGCGTTGGCAGTCTGGATATCTGCGATATAGAGATTTTATCGCTGTAAGGACCTGTGCTCTGCTTCTGTCCTCGGAAACATTGATGAGAAAGGTTTCCAGAGATCAAGTAATGCAAATAAATGCAGATGCCCTGCTGTTGGTCGCCTGTTGAACAACAATTATTACCAAGCTGACGTTGGAAGCACTCTAGGTCTCTCCAAGTATTTGAAAATGAAAGTCATGCTTCTGTTCACTCTGACAAGACGAAAGAAGGCTTGTCGCTCTTCGGTAAGCTTGATATAGTGACCTTTCAATCTTAGTATTACCGAGAAGATCATTACCAGGGATTTTGAACAATACCAAGACCACCTTGGGTCGTACTCTTCTCAGGACATGGCTACTGAGGCCTTCGCTATCCCTACAAGTTATTCGTGATCGTTTAGATGCCGTGGGATGCTTCGTGCGACCCGAAAATCTATCCTCAGCTAGCCTCCTCCGAACGCATCTCAAGGGTCTCAAAAATATACCCAGAATCATGGGTTTGATGAGGACTGGGAAATCCAAACTAGTAGACTGGCAAGGTCTTGTCAAGGTTCCAATCATTCTCTACTGCTCTCAGCACAGCAGCTCACCTATCATGCTACAGTTTACATACCACGCAACAATGCTCAGAGACTCATTGTCTGAGCTGCATGAGGCAAGTGGAATCGACGTTGTGAAAAGGGTTTGTCCTTGTGTTGCCAATCTTTTATCATGGACTGAGTATCTGTGGTTGCAGCTCATTCGAGCCTTGGACACTGCAACTTTCAAGGAGTTGGGTAGCAGAATCAACGAGATCGTGCGTATTCACTCTCAACCTTCCGCATTCCATCTAGTGACCTTTCTCTAGATTGATTGGGAAGAATCTTCCACCAATGAACGTGTATGCGTGCGACCTCATATCGATGAAGACCTGGACAACAGAAAGCATGTTTATCACGGGATCGATTCAATTCTGGTAACTCGGCATCTTTAGCTGGTTGCAAACTAGCTGACTTCTGCGTAGTCAACCGTTGCAGAACAAATTGCCGATACCGTCCCACCCGATTTCGCGGCCTCTCTCAATGTTGTCTACTTCCCTCAGCTAGGTGTGTTTATTCCCTGTTTCCACTGACGAAGTGACTGATCATCTTTGAAGGTTATCTCATATGTGTCCCGATGTTAGAGGAATGGCGCTCAGAGGCTGGCATTCAACCAATTGAGGGTTGGTCATTTCAAGTACGCTCGTTCTATCTTTGCTCTCGATCTCTGTCCTGATTTCCTTGGTAGTTCTCTTCTGAGTATATTCCAGTTTCTTCTTAACGTTGCCTCTTGAGCTGATGCGGAGAACTCACAAGTGCGCACGTCTACTTCAAGTCGTCACAAATGCACGGTAAATGCCTGATATCATGTGAGGCTTGATCTTATCTATCAAGCAGACATGGACAGCCACATTGGTGACCTACATTCTACTATTGTTGATAGAGAGTTGGAGATAGTGCAGAAGCTCCTCGAAGAAGTGTTGGCATCCGACGGAGCTATCGGAGGCGCATGCGATGTTTCCGGGGAGCTTGATTGTCTTCTGTCGTTTGCAGAGACCTCAAGGCTGTTCAACTATCAACGTCCAGAAATGGTCGAGGAAAATGTCATCGAAATACTTCAAGGAAGGTCAGTATTGTTCGCATTCTTGATTTTTATGTTTATTCTTCTTCCCAGACACCCCTTGCACGAGCAAGTTGTTGACACGTTCGTGCCCAATGATGCTCGCATTCTCGGCGGAGCAGGAATCGATTCTAATCTCGATCCACCTGATGACGACCACCAATGGAACAGTGTTCTGCTTTGTACAGGAGCTAATGCATGCGGAAAGGTAGAGCCCTCGTCTATTGTTTGTGTGTTCTGCTTATCTGCCTCTGTGAGTAGAGCGTGTATTTGAAACAGGTATGGACAACCCCTTATGCATGGGCTTTGTTGGGCTAACTCTGCTCAAATTAGATAGCTCTCATCCAGATAATGGCTCAGGTGCGTGCTTCTACAGCTCAACTGCTTGAGATTAATGAGATCCTAGATCGGCTGGTGAGCGTTCCTGGCTGTTCATATAAGCGCCTCCTTATAATTACTTATTTATTGTATTTGTAGCTTCGTTCCTGCCGAATCCGCTACGTTAGGTGTTGTCGACAAGAGTTGTCCTCGATCATCAATGGCGCCATTCTTGCGCTAATAAATTCAACAGTCTTCACCCGCGTATCCACTCGAGAATCGGTTTCCAAAGTAATTACTCCTTTTCACGATCACCTCGGGTTCATGTCGTCGGACGCCTCTGGACGCCAACTGCTGCTTCTCAGTCAAGCTGATCCTTGCTCCGTCGGCCTCGTTTCTAGGTTCAGTCAGCATTCATGATCGACCTGGCTCAGGTTTCGCTTGCTCTTCGTAATTGCACTGCTCGATCCTTGGTACTTCTTGATGAATTCGGGAAAGGGACGCTCTCAACAGGCTTGTGTCTTTCTTTCTTCTTTACTGCATGTTCTTTCCAGCTCCTTCCGCCCCCTTGGTGTGACTGGATTCGCTTTGCAGCACGTGCTCCAACTGGCGACGTCTCGTCTTTGATGGAATTTGGCTTCCACTATTCAACATGCTGATACTTCATTTCGTCAGCACAGACGGTGCAGGATTGTTCTGTGGAGTCCTTCAGCACCTCCTCAACCGCGGTTCTAATTGCCCCAAAGTCCTTGTCGCTACTCACTTCCACGATGTTTTCAATGAGGAACTTCTCGACCCAGAGTGCATACCCGTCTCCTTCCGCCATATGCAGGTCATGTTCACGTCGAGAACCGGTGCGGTTGTGGAGTCCAGTTCTTTTGACCCTTCTTCTGCTACTGGCTGCACTTCGCCTTCAGCCAGTACTGTCGAAGACGATATAGCAACGAGGAAAATAGGGCCGGCTGAGAAGATAACTTATCTATACAGGTTTGCTGAACGACTTCGTCCTTGACCTCAGGATTGTGACTCTGACAGCCCTGATCCAAGAGTTGCCGAAGGTCTCTCTCTGGATTCACATGCGGCGAAATGCGCGGAAATATTCGGTATACCATTGAGGATCGTTGAGAGAGCACAATATGTCAGGTAAACATTGCATTGTCCTCTGTTTTTCAGTCAAGGGTTGACTCCCCTTGTTTATAGCCACTTGTTGTCTACTCATGAACTCGGGCGTCTCCTCGATGAAGAAATGTCCGACATAGAACGTAAAGATCTGGAAAATGCGGAAGCTGTGTGTCGTCGCTTCCTGGCTTGGGACCTCAAAGCTGATGAAGAGTCGGACCTTCACGAGGGTGAAGTTAAGAGAAAACTTAGACAAGTTTTAGGAAAGGGAACAGGTGATGAGGACGACGATACGGACGACGAGTGAAGACTGTAGCGTACATTATTACCGAAGCTATGATTTTCTTCAGGGAAACTCTCAATTGAGCTGCTGTTTGGATCTGTTGGTCACGACGTATCAGCGTTCCCTTCCATACTCAAATCTCTCTCCTTAACGTGTTCCCTCCTTAGTGTTATAGATGATCTCCACCTGTCTTCGCAAATGTGCCTCGTTACTACATTGAACATGAGCGGACTCTATGAATATCATCGCGGGAATGCCGGAGACCGTCTGAGGAACGAGACCGTATCATGGGGATTAGGCGCATGGTGAGTCCTTCTATATTACCGTTTTCTATGCTGACGAAGGTTTCGTTCATCCATTTAGATGGAGAAAATGCTTGCTATGGGATCGGCCTGTCGCACTGGGGATCTTCCTGCACTGATAGCAGCGCAAATTGCAGTACGTCTTCCCAATGATGTTGAACCTAGATAAAGAGCTGGACGACTCTAGCTCTTCCTTATCTCTCATCCATCATGGCATCCAACCCTCCGCTTCAGCCAGGGCGTCCCTTCAAGATCAGCGTCCCAGAGGAAAAGATCGCAACACTCAAGGGAAAACTCACACATATTAGAGATTCTGAAGAACTTGCAGACGTATGTCGAGAGTACGGTGTTTCGCCTACGGATATTCAACGCCTGCTGGCACGCTGGAGGGATGGTTATGATTGGAGGAAACACGAACGCGAACTGAACGAAGAGCTACCCCAGTACAAGAGAGATATTTATGTCGATGCCTTTGCAACGCTTAGGATACACTACGTGCATAAGAAGAGTGAGGTGAAGGGTGCCATCCCCTTACTTTTCGTACATGGATGTGAGCCATACTCTTTACTCTATTTCCTCTCCACTTCCGAACCATTCTCGCAGGGCCAGGAAGCTTCATCGAAGTTCGAAAGATCCTCCCTCTCCTGGCGCAGAAGTCCCCAGACTACCCCAGCTTTCATGTCGTCGCCTTAAGTCTCCCAGGCTACGGATTTTCTGCAGCACCTCGGAAGAAGTTTTCGATCTCACAATATGCAGAGGTAGTATTAGCTTCTATTATGAACGACTAGCTAAAGTTGAGAGGCGCACTAGACAGGGCATAAGCTGATGCTATCCTTGGGCTACGAAGAGTATGGTGAGATCCAGTTACTTCCAATTTCCAATCTCCTTTCTCAGAACCTCCGACCCCCCATGTGTATACTCGTAGTAACACAAGGAGGCGATATCGGCTTCTTTGTGGGTTGTTCAACTATCTTTCTTAACCGTGACTGACGTCTTTTCGACTATAGATCACACGCAGAATGACTAAAACATACGGCGGTCAACATACTAGAACACATTCAAGGCTGCTAGAGTAGGTTCCTCGTTTATGGTTTATGTTTTATGTGTGCTTATTTCCTAGACTCTCACCACCACATCTGTTCGGGTCTCCCTGGCTCTATTTTGTCAACACCTTAACGCGTTACACCACGGCCGAGGCAGACCACCCCGACTCGCCTATGATGCACGATGCGGGCGACCTCAGAGGGCGATCAACCCTGTCGCAAACAAATGGTCATGATGTCGCCACTTCTCCAGTCCAGTTATTAGCCTGGATCTATGAGAAGCTTTTCAAATGGAGTGATTCTTACCCCTGGGATGACGACGAAGGTAGGTCACATCTCACTTTCCATGGAATGAAATATTGATGGTGCACTTTAGTGCTCACTTGGGTCTCGATTTACTGGTTTTCTGCTGCCGGTCCAGCGGCCTCTTTGGCAGCGTATTATGAGATGATTAAAGCAGGAGATCGCGCCCCTGCGAAGACGAACGTTCCACTTGGTCGTCCTTACTTCCCAAGAGAGGTCTTGAACATTCCGCGACTGTCAGTCTCTTGTCGCCTCTTAGGAGGACGGTATTCTGATGACTTGCTCCTAGATCCGCGAAGACACCTAACCTTGTTTCGGAAGAAGAGGCTAGCATCGGTGGGCAGTTTGCCGCTTACGAGAAACCACAAGAACTTGTTATGGATCTCAGGCGCATGTTTGGTAGAAACGGCTCAACTTTCGGCGCTGTGACAGGGAAAACAGGGTTTTAAACTCGACTTGCTGATTTTTGTGTTCCTCTCTTAGCTGCTTCTTCAAGTTGCACTCTTGTCCAGTTTACTTACCACCATCGTCCGATTGAAATTCTCACGTTTGTTCTTCGATTCTAAATTATATGCCTGTTGCGCAGTCGTGGCAGGTAAGAATCACCTCTATGGATTCACCTCGTGGATCCCGTGGCCAATAAAGGTGCCCCGTTTGATGCGTATTGGTCGCGTAAAGCTTGAACTGGCCTTCGTTCGTTACTAAACTCTACGCGGTCTGGCTCGACTTTGTTTCTGGACCCCACATTCATAAGCCGTTCCGTCATAATGGCGAGTGTATAAAAGCTTGAATGCTGATCACTAGATCACTAGCGCGGTTCCCACTCTAGTGCCATGGCCCCTCTTACCCTTCCTGGCGCAGACAGTCCATTCAAAATCGAAGTAACCGACGAGCAGCTTGATTTACTGAAGAAGAAACTTGCACTGACAACGTTCCCCGATGAACTTGAAGATGCTGGACGCGACTATGGCGCACCGCTTGCTGACTTGAAACGCCTTGTTGCGCGATGGCAGGACGGCTACGACTGGAGGAAACGCGAAAAGGAACTCAACGACGAGCTGCCCCAGTTCAAGAAAGAAATCAAAATCGGTGGATTCGGGGATCTTGACGTTCACTTCGTGCACAAGACCAGTGAGGTTGAGGGTGCCATTCCGCTCTTGTTCGTGCATGGGTGTGAGCGGTGTCTCTTATGATATTATGCACCTTTGTGCTGATATTGCCCCTTTTTTGCGATGTTGAAGGGCCAGGAAGTTTCATTGAAGTTCGGAAGATTCTGCCTCTTCTGACGCAGGCGAGCCCGGACCACCCCAGCTTCCATGTCGTCGCCTTCAGTTTGCCTGGTTATGGATTCTCGACGGCCCATAAGAAGGGGTTTGACATAGCTCAATACGCCGAGGTACATATAAAGACTCTACCACTCTTCACCTGCTGTAAATATACGGAATAACAGGTCGGAAACAAGTTGATGCTCTCTCTGGGATACGAAGAATATGGTCAGTTTGAAGAATTAATATATAGACGTTTCGCTGAGACTACACATTTTCTACAGTTACCCAAGGAGGCGATTGGGGCGCACCTGTGAGCTTCGATGCTTTCTTAGTTCGGGGTTCATGACAAGGATGCCTTCCCAGATCACTAGAAAAATAGGGCTTCTGTACGGAGGGCAAAACAGCAAAGCATGGCACTCAAATTTCCCTGGCTGGGCACCATCGAGGTAGAGTCGTGTCCTAAAAATATTCATTGCTTGAAGTTTGACTAGTCGCCAAAGGTTTCCACCGACTTTAAGAACAGCTCCCTGGGTGTATCTCTCATCCTTTTTCAAGAAATACACACCTGCAGAGGTGGCAGGCCTGAAGCGGACGGAGTGGTTCCAGAAGGAAGGTCGTGGATACAACCTTGAGCAATCGACTCAGCCACAGACTCTAGGGTACAGCCTGGCGGATTCTCCGTCGGGTCTCCTTGCTTGGATCTATGAAAAGCTGGTCAATTGGACAGATGGCTACCCCTGGGAGGATGACGAAGGTGGTTTTAACGGTTCATCCGTAACCGAACAAGCTATTGGCTGCTGCATTTTGCTCTAGTCTTGACATGGGTGTCGATTTATTGGTTTTCGACGGCTGGCCCCGCTGCGTCGCTGCGTATCTATTACGAAAAAACCCATGGAGAAGACGACAGTGCACAAATTCCAACGATTCCTCAAGGGGTCTCTTACTTCCCCAAAGAACTTGTTGTCCACCCTCGAGCGTATGTTTTTATCAAATGGTTCATTCGGATTTGCACATACTGAAGTCTTGTCAGATGGACAAGGACCAAATACACTGTATTCGAGAAGGAGCATGAAAGCGGCGGCCATTTCGCCGCGCACGAAAAACCTGTGGAATTGGTGACGGATTTGAGGAATATGTTCGGGAAGAATGGGCCTGCATATGGTGTTGTCAAAGACAGGAAGGGGTATTGAAACTTCGGACTTTTCTGATGTATTGACATTATTCTAACGTGTAATGTAACTGTCCACCCCGAATGGGGCTGCCTGCTACTTATTGCTGAAACGGAGCATCTGAAGAGGTCTCGTGTTGCTTTCATACGTAACCTGTCCTGCCTGGAACAATTCCGAAAGCTGGGCCTCTCTTTCCGAACATCTTTCGAAGGTCATCAACAAGTTCCTGTGGCTTTTCATGGGAAGCGAAATGACCTCCACTCTCATGCGATGATTCAAATACGAGGTTAGGCGCTCTCAACCATCTGAAGTTCCACCAATCAGCTCACTGGTCAGCGATAGCGGACTTGTTGGACGTACCTTCGAGGAAGAAGAGAAAGTTCCTTTGGAAGAGTAGCCCATAGGGATCGTTGTACGTTCTGTTCTGGCCAGCATGTTCGGGTGTGCCTTGTTCACTTCATAATAAAGACGAATAGAAGCAGAGGTCCGGCTCTGGAAAACCAATAGACGGAGGTCCAGGTGAGAACTGCATTTTGAGATCAATGCGAGAACAAGCATTATTAAGTCGAGAACCGCATCACCTTCATCATCTTCCCAAGCGTAGTTATCGGTCCATGCCACAAGTTTTTCGTATATCCACCCCAAGGGTCCAGCCGGTGAGTCTGCCAGGCCATACCCTAGGGTTTGTGGTTTCGTTGCCTGAAGCATGTAGAACCCGGCCTGAGTGTTTTGGTACCATTCAACTCTCTTGAGACCTTCGTATTCCTCCGGAGTATACTTTAAAAGAAGGTGCGATAGGAAAAGCAACGGCCCGTGAATAGGATGCGGCGGAGAGGACCTACATGGAGGTACGGCGACCGTCAGTAGGCCGATGAGTTTTTGAGGCTAAGACATACACAGCACAGTTGGAATGCCAGGCTTTGCTATGCTTCTCTCCGTAGAGTTGCGCCATTTTACGCGCGATCTATTGCACAGGAGACGCTGAATTGGGGGTTTGCGACAAGACAAGGCGACGAAACACACCATGTATCCCCCGTCTCCACCTTGCGTGATTGCATCACTCTATTTGTAAATTCTCCGGGTCAAAGAATTAGCATGTTCACCACGGACATACTCGTTGTAGCCTAGAGCGAGCATTAGCTTATGACCAATCTACGAAACCAAAAGGTTTAATAGCAGGTAGCTGGTGAGTTTTGGCATGTTCTACTCACCTCTGCGCACTGCTTAAGTTCAAACCCTTGCTTGATTGGAGCCTCAGAAAAGCCGAAGCCGGGCAGACTAAAGGCGACAACATGGAAACTTGGGTAATCAGGCGAAGACTCTAGAAGTAGCGGCAGCATTTTTCTAATTTCGAGGAAACTTCCCGGCCCTACAGTTTGTTTTCAGGGCAATACTATACAAGATCAGAAAATGACACTCACATCCGTGGACAAAGAGTGGAGGGACCGCATCAACTACTTGGCTTCTCTTGTGCACGTAGTGTATATTCAGCGATCCAAAACCGTCCACTTCGATGTCCCTAAGGAACTGGGGAAGTTCGTCATTGAGCTGAGCCTCATACCTCCTCCAGTCGTAGCTATCTTTCCAGCGAGCAACAAGCCGACGAACGTCTGCAAGAGGGGCACCATAATCGCTTCCAGCATCCTGCATTTCGTCAGGGAACGTGGTCAAGGCTAACTTCTGCTTCAGGAGTTCGATGCTTCGTCTGGCACAGTGATCTTGAAGGGTTGTTCGGCCATGGGTGGTGAGTTTGTAAAGTAGTTGACCCGTTTGTGAGCCTATTTGTAGTAAGTACTTACCCTGCTAGGTTGGCAATCCCATGATTGACTCACCCGAGTCTCATCGGACAACGAGGTGCTTATGTAACATTGCGCCTGTGGCTCCCACTTACTCGCTGAATCCTGAGATGATGATCGCGACACTTTGCATTTCGAGTTGATCCCGAGATAGAGGTGTTTCATACATCAGGCGCATAGGAAAATGGTCCGACGCCGAACAAGTTTACGCATAACCCGTCTTACCGGGCACAACACCGAAGGCGGGCCCACCCTTTCCAAACATTTTTCGAAGGTCATCGACGAGCTCCTTTGGCTGCTCGTGGGCCGCGAAATGACCGCCTCGCTCGTGTTCTGACTCGAATACCAGATTTGGTGCCTTTAACCATCTGAAAGGTGGTCAGTTCTTATCGGAAGGTAACTTGATTTCTGAGATGCTCGTACCTCCTGGGTAAGACAAAAAGCTCTTTCGGAAAGTAGGAGTATCCCATAGGGATTGTCGTACGCTCCGTACTCGCAAACGGATTACTGTTTCCTTTGAACAATTCATAATAGATTCGAAGAGACGCTGTTGGGCCTGCACGGGAGAACCAATAGATAGAGATCCACGTCAGGACTGAGATGGCATTTGTTCAGTTTCTCGGTACGACAACATTCGGGGTCTTGCGTACCTTCATCGTCATCCCATGGGTAACTATCGGTCCAGGTGACGAGTTTTTCATATATCCAAGCCACCAACCCGGAAGGCGAATCCGAGAGACTATAGCCAAGTGTCTGCGGTTGCGTTGACTGTTCAACAAAGTAGCCTCTTCCGTTCTCAGAAAACCATTTTGTTCTTTCAAGGCCTGCTTTCTCGGCGGGAGTGTAGCCGGAAAAGAGATGGGACAGAAAGAGTAAAGGCCGATGAATTGGATGGGGTGGGGTAGCCCTTGATAGACAATCTCAGGACTGCACTTCATGGAAGTCTGGTATCAGGCTCGACTTACATTTGTACATTCGTATGCCATGCTTTGCTGTGCTTATGCCCGTAGATTTCAGCTATTTTCCGCGTGATCTTCGTGATCAAGTCAGCTTTTCTAGTGTCGCACATAAGCACGATTTGAACACACCGCATATCCCCAGTCTCCTCCCTGCGTGACTATATAACAAATATCAATGACCGTGTTCGAAAATATCTCAGTTGTCCATACCATATTCATCGTACCCCAAGGCCAGCATTAGTTTATTGCCGATCTGGTGGGGCATGAGTCCTACAACACGTTCGGCCAGAGGGGCACCCATACCTCCGCATACTGCTTAATCGCGAACCCTGGTTTCTTGGGAGCTTGAGAGAAACCATAACCGGGTAGACTGAATGCGATGACATGGAAACTGGGATGGTCCGGCGATGAAGGCTCAACGAGGAGAGGGAGTATCTTCTTCACTTCATAGAAACTTCCCGGCCCTGCGACGCAAGTCAGCGTTTGCACAAGCAGTTGACAGGATATAATACTGGTTTACTCACATCCATGAACGAAGAGTAACGGAATAGCGTCGACGATCTGGCTCTTCTTGTGGACGTAGTGTATATTCAAAGTGCCGAATCCCTCAATTTCAACGTCCCTTGTAAACTGTGGGAGTTCGTCGTTGAGCTGGGCCTCGTATTTCCTCCAGTCATAGCCTTCTTTCCATCGAGCAACGAGGCGCTGAAGGTCTCCAAGCGGCACGCCGTAGTTCCACCCTGCACCTTCGAGTTCATCAGGGAACACAGCCAACGCCAGCTTTTGTTTGAGGATGGCGATGCGCTCGTCGGACACAGCGATCTTGAAAGGTTGTTCTGCCATATGTGTAATCTGTTGTTACTTGGGTGGAACCACCGAGTTTTAAAGAGGTTTCCTTCATGATGCTTTCTCAGCCACGGTTACGAGAGAGTCATAAGAGCGAGTTAGTAAGGCCGAGATGGTCGCGTCGAAGGCGATATTAGTTGAACGGTGTGACGCAAGAATACTGAAAGAAGACAGCCAGTCGACGGGTTTTGACACGGTCGTGGGACCGGAATCCTAAGAAGTCGTGAATATGGCGTCCCGATGAGAAACGCGGCCGCAATGTGTAGGGTACATGACTTGATGTTGGTTGGTTGAGAGATCACCGGCCCAAGACGTCGCATGGGTTCGATGATCTGGTTCAAGCAGGTCACACTTAGATGAGCATGAAGGAATTCTGATGGTACCACTGCAAAATAAAGCACTGACTTACATAAACAAATTGGTCTGGTCTAAACAACAGCCATACTAACTTGCAGATGGAGTGACGGCGACGCATTAAGGATAGGTTTAAATGAGTGATTATGCTGAAAGAGCGTAGGTAAGTATATGAGGCCAATTAGGCGAAACTGTACTACAAATGTGTTTGTTAATGTATGTACGAACAAAGCGGAAGGCGGGGACAAAAACAGAAAGAGCAAACAGAGCATCGGTATCCGAGTGTAGCGAGGTCAAATATTGGCAGAAATACAGTATGCGATGCTGGAGGTACGGGTAGATGATTGGAAATATGGTAAAGATTGCTGAACAACGATGCGATTATGATGCGACCGACAAATGAGTTCCGTTGTAGGAGAAGCCTAGAAATGACAGGTTAGGCAGCCCAAAAACATGAGGACTCGAGACTTACCATTAAACTGAGCTTGAACTGTTTGCGATAAGTTAGACCCTTCGACGAAGCTGTCGACAGGCGCCTCCTCCGTGAATACCATATCGAAGTTGGAAACATCCTGCAAAGGAATGAGAAGCTGAGTAGTTGAAAGGAATAAAGGCAACATACGACGGGGCTGGCCACGCTGGGTTTGAAAGGAGGTTGAATCTTCTTCTGAGCTAGCAACTTGAAGTCGATGTGCTTATGGAAGAAAGGATGCCGCTTGATCTCATCAGCGCCTTTGATCCCGAGACGACGAGAGGGGTCACGGTTAAGAAGGCTCGTGAGGATGCTGCAAGCTTCTGGACTAAATTCCTCTCCGAAGCGAAGAGGGTCGTTCAGAATTTTTTCATACATCTTATCCGTAACCTCGTCATAGAATGGAGGTAAGCCTGCAAGCATCTCGTAGAGGAGAACACCGAGGGTCCACCAATCGATCGCTTTATCTGGAAGGAAGGTGTGAGTGCCCTGTATTAAAGACATCGAGGTTTCAGGTTAGCATACCATATCCATTGCCACAGAGGATCTCCGGTGCCAGGTACTCAGGTGTGCCACAGAAAGTATTTGTCTTTTCGTTGTCCTTCATATTCAACTTGCAAAGACCGAAATCGCATAGGGCAATGTGACCAGTGTAATCAAGGAGAATGTTTTCCGGTTTCAAATCCCTAGAAGTTTGATGAGAAAGCATCGTTGACAGGATTACAAATGACGTGCCGATATACAACGTCCAACTCGTGGAGATGCTCAAGAGCAAGAAGTAGCTCGGCACTATAAAAGCTACGAGGGAAAAGTCTAGACTTGAATCAACACAGAGCGAATGGAAACTTACCGAGCGCGCTTCTCATCAAAGCGGTGCTCTCGTTGGAGGTGATGGAAGAGTTCACCTCCATTAACAAAACTAACAGGAGAATGAGGGGAAAGGTCGACTTTTCTGAAGGATGAGACGTACGCAAGGACGAGATATAGCTTTTGCTCAGATTGGAAGCTGAACTTCAGGGGCACAATGAAAGGACTATCGACTTGCGCGAGGACAAGGCGCTCAGCAAGCGTATGTGTGATCTCGTTGCGGTTTACAATGTGAGCTTTTCTAATCGTCTTGAGAGCATAAATTCGAGAAGTGTCGCGCTTTCTGACTTGCAGAACCTTACAAAGACGTTGAGGATTAGGGTGGAAAAGAGACGAGAAAGTGACACTTGCCTTGCCGAAGCTTCCCTTCCCAATGACGGTCATCAACTCGAAATCATCGATGGTCAACGATTGGCCATAATGAGGCTGGTACGCAACACCAATTTGAACCTTGCCGGCACCTCCAACCAACTCGTACCACTGGTCTTGATTTCCCATACCGTCAAAGTTGGGTACAAACTTGATGCCGCCCAGGAAGATGTCATTGCCCAGATCATCGGCGAGCCCATCTCCACCGCACTTTGGTTCTTCTGTGCGCAGGTAGCATTGCAGAGAGATCTCAGAGTTGCGTGAGACATCGCTAGTTGCATAAGGTCAGATTGGACAGCATTAGGTCCGGACTATCAAATAACCCACAAATGAGCTTGGTACATGTACAAAGGCTTGTCTAGCTCGCCGCCCAGCGGAGTGATGAGAACCTGGTTGACCTCATACTCCATAACGACGTATGGTAGCCACCAACATTGAGTTCGTTGGATGCTATCCCTACACGATTGATTCGAAGGGGGGCGGGATGAGCTGGTAGCGTCAGACAGCAATAGAGAAACAGACACACCTATCCCCCCTCGACTTCTTCGCTAGACGCTGCTGAGTGACCGAAGATGGAGAAATAGAGGCAGCAACTTTCGCTTGCTGAGAATTCAAGGCCGACTGAACCGCTGGCGGTACGGCGACTCCCGCCGGCAGGCTAAGTCCTTCAGCCCATAGAACACGAATGGTGAGCAATCCGGACCGAAAGGTGAGTTTGTCGTCCTTGCCGTCAGGGTTGGAAGGTGTTGGTGTCGTCGAGCGGTTGCTGGTATCGTCTGCCTTGAGATTCGTGACGGAAGCTTTCTTGCCTCGGAGCCAGGACATTTTGATGGATTGGAGGAGGGCAATGGTCGTAAAAGATTGGTGAAAGGCCTGCTTTCGGTTTGTATCGCAAAGTGAGGTGGCAAAAGAGTGTGAGCCGACTTTATTCGGGTTTTTGTGGGTTGTCAGATGATTGTTCTTGTCAAAGCTTTGAAACCTTTCTAAGTGTCTTCACAGTTCCGGCATCCCGTAAGTAATTGTTATATAGGTTCCATATTACCTAAGTAACAAGGATCTTCTTGCCCTAGGCCACTGCAAAGCCGCCACTAGGCCGCCACTAGGCCACATCCACACGTAAAAGAGTCAAGGCCGGCAAAACAAGATGCCTTCAAGACTGTCACCATGAACCGCAACGATTTCGCCACCGGTTTCTTCGCTGTTACCACCCTCCTTCACGACCTCACAAACAGGTATGGCGGCTACCCTTCACTCATTGACCCAACCTTCCGTCCAAAAGACCCAGCACTTTCTCAGGTCTTGCGCGCACTCTCTGTTGTCATGACCAGAGGCAATGAAATTGTTGCAACGGCTGCCAAACTCTTTATGAACAAGCAAACCCTCGAGCTTCAATTTCTCATATGTTCAAACGTACCCGACGAGGAGGATAAGGGATACCATCCAACGCACCTAGATTTCTCCATCTTGGATTCACTCGAGGCGCACGCGAGGTAAGTCCCGGTAATGCTCGGCCCTCTTTCGATGACTGACTACCGCAAGACCCTTACTTTTCACGAGTACGGACGTCTCATCCGAAGTTTGTTGCGGGACTACATGTCGAATGTCCACGATTCCGCCAGAGTTGCGACAGTCAAGCGTGATTTGCTTTATGCGGTGTATCCCCGTCCCTCCTCCGCAAACTGGACTGGTACAACCCTAATATTGTGCTTTTCGTGCGAATGTTGCGGCAAAGTGGTTTCGAACTTCGAACATTAAGCAACCCGTTACCCACTGGTACTAAGGATTTGCAGGTCCTTACGATCCTCGCGGGAACTCTTGGGCAAAGCCCATGACTCATCTCAAGATCCTATGTGACGAATGCACCCTCAGCAGGACCTTCCCTGACCATCGCCTCTGGTCGCAGGAGCACTGGCAGGAGTTCTCTGGGTTTCTCTCGTTCCTGTTGGTCCGAATGCAGACATCCCTTTCACTTCTCCTTGCCCTTTCCCTTGAGCTTCGTGGAGGACAGAAACCAAATGCAAACATGGCAGCGCATCTTCGTCATCTCTGTCGAGAGCTTGAATGTTTCCATGTCAACCTTTCCTTGCTCCAAGACGGCCATTTTTGAGAAATTTCTGGCAATGCTCGTTCTGCCACGAAAGATCAATTACTATCGGACTTGGTGTGCGGATCAGTACGCCTATCTGCAGGCTTGTAACGTGCTCGACTACCACTACGCGAATTACTTGCGGCAAAATTTGTTCGTGGCGGATCTGAGTAGAGCACGGCAGGTTCGACTGACCTTCAAGTACCTTCTGTTAGGTAACCAGCACCCAACAAAAACGTTATCACGCCGCGATCGCATCCTTCTGGTTGACTGTCTCTTTCCGTTGGATATCGAAAGGGTTTCTCAACCAACGAACATGAAGGAGCGGCTCAGAATGTTGGTCTCGTTTACTGCCGTCCACCGACCGTTTGTCCATCCCGCACTGCACCTCGGAGCGACTCTTATCCAGAGCGACGAAAAGGAGCTCACATCTGTTCGTCTGCCTCCCTTTCTCGTCCTTGGCGCTGAATTATCTTGGTTACAGGACTACTATCATGAAATCGGGTCTTCGCAACACTGCTGCACACTCTGCTCTTACGCCGCACAAGGCTTGTGGAAAGGACCTCTACCTTCCGTGGTTTCACCGACTATTCCCGACTCTGTAGTTGCTCTTCTCCTCGAACACCTTAAGAGAAAGGCCACAGCTCACATGGAGCACCTGGCTCATGTTCATCCAGTGGCATTGCCCTCGTGACTTATGAGTAAGTATGTGCGATTACTTGCCATCATGTAGCTGATGTCCTCAGAGACGTATTAAATAGCTATAGCCTTCATGCACTCATGCGCATGTTTTCCAACGAAATAAGATACCTTACGTTGTCGTGCGACCGTCAATCATGCCTTTTTCGCTCTCGTCTGACTTGGAGGCAATTTCTGCGAACGGATAAGCTGTCTCTTATGCCAACTTTCTTTTTGACCTGTCCGAGGTGATGTGGCTAGACTCATGGGCTGCATGCTACGTCAAACAGGACGGAGAGGTCAAAGGTCAGATCACAGAGGTTGTGGATCAGGTGCGCGTTTGTTCTATTCTTTTCGACCCGTCCCTGACACTAGGTCCACAGCCACTGCTGATCATTCAACTGATTAGAAAACTTCAATCTTCGTCTACCGTCTATATCCATCCCTGCTCCTGAGATGCAAGTCTTGGGCGAATTTTGCCGATTCGAGACCCAATGCATTGGGGTTTTCAGGGCTGTTTTTGGGACAAGACCTAGCTGGAGCTTCTCGGGTCCTATATCAGGTGTTCCTGACGAGATTCACCCCCCCCCCTGTTCGAACTACCCAGCTTTTTGAATGACTTAAGAAACCGGTAGCATATTTGGGCTGGTACACCAACTGGTCGACCGCGAGGAGGGCCAACGTCGACCCGTTGTCAGTCATGTTGAACACCCTCCCATGCGTCATTTTCTTTTAAGCCCTCATTCTCCCGTGTTCGAGATGGAACTCACCCTCTAATCTATGTTTGTCCTGGATCATTTGTACGGCGCGACAGGTAAGAGGTCGAACGGTAGGCCGAAGTTCACAGAAGAAAATTCACTCTCAACATCCTCGACACTTTCCAAGAGGCAGTGGGTTTATCCTGTCTTAGGTGACTGGTTAAACACCTCTTACTGACTGGAACTATGGCGATGTCATTCATATCGCAGGCAACGCGCTTCCATGACGGACATTGGGCAACAGCCTGTTGAAGGCGGAAACCTTGCCTTTTCACCGTCTCTTGACGGCGACCAATCAAATCAATTATCTTGCGACATATGGACTGTGGCTGCCATGTTTTGATGGAATCCAATTTCTGTGCCAGCTTTATATTCTACTGCGCTGAAGTCAGCGGAATTGCGAAGCCGGCCTTTCGCCTCGTCCTTTCTTATGATACCGTCCTTTCTTATGATATAATGGGCTTCTCTGACGAAGATCCTAGTCTTATCCTCGAGATGGTGACAGAAACGCTCCTTGGTGCGCCAGTGTCGCTACCCAATGTACTTATTTTAACGAACTCGTCAGTCTTCTTAGGCTCTCATCAATCGACATCATGACTTGCTTCTCGTTGGACATCAACGATCCAACAATCGTACTTAGCATCGGAAGCACAGCCGAGAGATTAACGGAGCGCTTACGCTCGTCCAGCTTCAAATGTATGTCATAAGTAACAAGACCTGAATGGGTGAATGTACTGCTGGCGTCAAGATTCGATAACCATATCCCTGCCTATTGGTCGTCGAAGACTTCGATAGCGACAAAAATAATGAGTGTGCTATCCTTCACCTACTAGTGCTTCAGCTTAGTGTCATCCTTCCGAGTAGATCGGAGGTTTGACTCCGCGCAGCTGGGCGACGATGTCGACAAATTCGAAGGTCTGGCGCATGTATCAGTGCGCCGTTCCCGTCCATGCTGGTACAGGGTGAACAGCGTTCCCCATTGGAGATTTTTTTCTGGCTGAGGGCGTAGCTGAAAGCATCCGTTTCCACCCTACCTAACTTATCGTCTGTCACGTCTTCTGAATTATGACATTGCCACTGGGCCGGAAAGCCTTCCTGGTCTGCTGGGGTCTACCGGTTTGGAAAAGAGTATGGCCGGTGATGGTGCAAGTGGTCCACCTTCCTCAAACCAATACTGAGTATTGTCCAATGTCCATGACTGACATACCGCGGCTTCGCTAGCACCCCATCGATCGAAGAGCTATCGGTGAGATACTCTGCCAGTTTTTCAATCGGCACACAGCTCCAACTGCCGAGCTCAGGCTCAACATCTCCCCCCTCGACGGCGAACGGAATGAGCTCAGGATCAACGAGTGCCTCAAACGCCTGGCTCTTGGAGCCCAGCCTCCTGGTCGGCACTGTTCCCCCCAACCTCCTGCTGGAGGTTGTCAAATTACATGAGGAAGAGACTCAGGGATTACTCCCCACTAGCATCAGACTGCTACTTTTCGTAGCCAATGGCAATATCCCATCGTGGTTTTCTGCATCTTTCTCAAACGGTCAATGTGGGCTGGAAGGACACGTAGTGCCCAGGCGGCTTCAGGCGGTCAAAATGGCATGCCAAGCCTCGGGTTTTACGGCTTTGCTGAGATGAATATCTGACGTCGCCTATCTCCAAGACGTACTGCTATGGTGTCGGCGCGCCGACCCTTCTGCAAGAAACCAGGACCGTGCTTAAATATCTCTACGAAAATGTCGTCCAAGCGCACCCGTGTTAGAACGCTGAGCGTTACCATTGCTAGCGCCTTCAATCCTCATCAGCGCTTTCCTCACCAGGTTCTTCTTCTCACTTTCTCTTCTTGTTTCTTCACCAAGAAACCAATCGAGAAAGTCGGTAACGCGAGACGACTCGCTAGTGCAACGAGGCGACGACTGCGGATTTATTTGGCTCCAAGTTTTGAATAAGCGCGCGTCGGATGAACCGGCAAGCGCGCTGTGCAGTAGGATGATCACCATATTGGCATCCGTCTCAATCGTCCGACTGTGAGATCTTGGAATATATATCACCTGTATACCACTGAATCTCATATTCTTAGCGTATTCCTGCCCTTCAAGTTTCTGGTGCTGAGAGAATAAGTAGTCATCGAGATTTGAAGAAGATGGAGAGCTTCAAATACGACGATGATGCTCGGCAAGTTTCCCATTTAAATCTAGACACTGAGAAGTGTCTAGTTTATTCCACCACAGTTGAATTCAGTCTCGACGTCCTGCTCCGAAGTTTCTGCAGTGCTGCGTCACTGCCGATAACATTCGTCACTCCCCTTAGTAGGATGTGTTCAAAGGGGTCCCAGCCTGGACCTGTGGACTTCATAGACCGCCCAGATGTTGCCTCTCTGCAATGCAGAAGGTCGGGCTTCAAGGCATTATGTACACACTCTCAAATTATAGGTGTCTACGTGGAGATTAGTATAATACACGTCGATGAGAGGCTGGCGAGTACCGTGCGCCAAGCATCTAGACCAAAAGGCGACACGAACCGAGGGTCTATCTTCGGTGCGCACGGCACTAGGTGAAGTGAGGCTCCGGCCTTACAATCGATCCACCTCTCTGTCTTACCTATTGCTGTGATACGATAGGAGGCATTTCTTCCTGGCCCGGGAAAATCGGAAAACACGTTGAGATTGAGTCACTGAGGCGGAGGTTCGACGGAAGTTCATGAAGCTAGTGATGACGCTTCCGCATCTTCGCCTCGCAGACCTCGAGTCATCGCAGGTTGATTGTAGGTGTGAGTCATGCCGCAGGGGAGTCACCAATCTCCTTCATCGCAGGGATTGGTATCAACCTGGTATCAACGTTGGAGAGGTGCATATTTCCGTACGCAGCTCGGAATACAATGGTTAACTGACTCGAGGCCATACGGCAGAAGCTCCAGTATTCGCGGATGTTGGGGTGCGTACGTATGCCTCCGGCCAAGTGATGCGAAGTAGTGTGGCGCGCTCAGGGTTCGACACCAGTGACTTTGAGGTGCGCTTGAAGCTTACTGGAACTGCGGAGAGTGCTGCCACGCAGGTCAGCGGGCGTAGCGCACAATCCAGACGCTCCGTGTCGGCCGTAACTCCCTACAGCAGATGATCTTCGCAAGGACGCCACACATTCTAACCCCATTTATGGACAACATAATTGAGGCTTGGCGACGGGAAACGTGTTGTTCCAGGCCCCACAACAAAGCATGTTGAACGGCAGAGTCAGACTCATTATCGGCCCGCTAAGTTGAGCTTTTGATACTCATCAACTTTCGTACTCTCTCGCAGCACCAGTCCATGGACCTTTGGACCGAGGATGGACGGCGCAGGGGGTCTAATGACAGAGGATTTTGAGTAAGAGAAGTGCGACTCAGTATCACCTCTGAGAGCAGGAGGTGCCACGGGCTGAGCAACCCGGTATCGTTGGCACTCGTTCCTGCTGCTGCCACGAAGCAGTCCGGGCCGGGGTTATGTAAGATCACCTCTGCGAATGCGATGAGAATCGGACCCCTTTCGGCTGCCGTACTTATCGTATTGTGGTCAGATATTTTCGCCTGCTCCCCAGTTGGTTTCTCCAAATTCGAGCGGGTATCCTTGCATAATTAATAGCCAGCGTGACAGACAGTGGGCCGCGGACTGCGCGAAGTCAGTGCGCGGTGGGATCACGGTTCTCAGGTTCATATAGGCGGTGAAAATGTGGGTCTAGGAGACTTGCGGCCTGTGTGTTTCGGTATTCCAAAGTGATTCAGAATGTAGTGAGCTAACAAGGACTCGTAGACTTGTATCCGCTTGGGTGTGCGGGGCAGGGACCAGTTTGAGGGATCTAATCTGATCTTGGAGGTCCGGCCCTGATTGGTCATCGCGCTGACACAGAGACCGGCGAAGAGATACATATATGCTCGCGTCCATTTCCGTCTTTCCATCCCAAGTCTGTTGACATCCCCCTCCTCCGCTCCTTAATTCCCCGCCCCCAACGCCCCGTCGTTGCTCCCCACAATGGTCGACTCACGACCGAGTAGCACCGACGAAAAGGCTACTGTCGTCGGAGACAAGCCCAAGGGTTTCTTCTCCCGCAAAAAGGCTGCCAAAGTCCACCCCGACGATACCCCCAATGAGAAAAATGGAGACGCGTCTGCAGAGGTCAAACCTGCAGAGTCAGATATCCCTCCTGTCTCCTTTTTTGAGCTGTTCCGGTGAGTTATCAGTGACTGGTATGCCACTCGCGTCCTCACCCTTTGTTTCTCCGCAGATACTCAACTTCGTACGAAATCTTCATTAACTGCATCGGGCTAATAGCAGCGGCGGGTGCGGGCGCGGCTCAAGTGCGTCGTGAACTTATTCTTCATGAGTCCTCGACTAACATCGGTTTTAGCCCCTCATGTCCCTGCTATTCGGTAATCTCACCCAGGACTTCGTCAACTTCTCTGTGGTTCTCTCTGCTGCGCAAGCTGGTAACGCAACTGCCGCCGCCAACGTCCCAGAGGCAGCAGCGAACTTCCGGAGTTCAGCTGGAGAGAGTGCGAGTTACTTGGTCTATATCGGTGCGCACCATTCTCTCCTTCCTTTCTTCCCGAAGCTTAACTTTCTTTAGGTATCGCCATGTTTGTTTGCACGTTCTTGTACATGTACATATGGGTTTACACCGGAGAGGTCAACGCAAAGCGAATCCGTGAACGTTATCTTCAGGCGGTTCTCCGTCAGAATATCGCCTTCTTTGACGATGTAGGCGCCGGTGAAGTCGCAACCCGAATTCAAACGGATACTCGTCAGTTTCATTCTTCCCTTCTTATCACGTGTGCTTTCGTTCTCATTCTCCCTTCATTCTAGACTTGGTCCAACAAGGAATGTCAGAGAAGGTCGCGCTTGTTGTCAGTTTCCTGGCAGCATTCGTCACTGGTTTCATCCTCGCATACGCTCGCTCCTGGCGCTTGGCACTTGCTATGTCTTCCATTTTGCCTTGCATTGCGATCGCAGGTGGTGTCATGAACAAGTTCATCTCCATGTACATGCAGTGCGTCAATCCTTCCTTCTTCCTTCTGTTGTTGCTATTGACAATATCTGCATAGGCTGTCTCTCAAACATATTGCGCATGGCGGTAGTATCGCCGAAGAGGTCATTTCGACGATCCGAACGGCACAGGCTTTCGGTACTCAAAAAATCCTGGCAAGACTCTACGATGATCGTGTCGATGAATCCCTGAAAGTCGACATGAAGGCGTCCGTGTGGCATGGAGGGGGTCTCGCAGTGTTCTTCTTTGTGATTTACTCCTCATATGCACTAGGTGAGCATCGCGCAATGCGTGGTTGATTATTTTTTTCTCATCATCTTGTGCAGCTTTCAGCTTCGGTACCACCCTCATCAACCAAGGACATGGTACGTATCTATTGCTCCGCTCCGCAGACGTTGACTTTCTTACTCATACGTCTCTCCGACGCAGCGACCCCTGGATCTGTTGTTAACGTTCTCCTGGCTATTTTGATCGGTTCCTTTTCGCTCGCTCTTCTCGCCCCTGAGATGCAAGGTATGGTTCCATAAATCCTTTTGTCAACTGCTTGACCATATACATATTTCAGCCATCACCCATGGCCGTGGTGCGGCTGCTAAACTTTACGACACCATTGATCGCGTACCGGAAATCGACTCGGCTGATCCGAGTGGTCTCAAGCCAGAGCAGATTGACGGTGAAATTGTTCTCGAGGGCGTCAGGTTCGCGTATCCTTCTCGCCCGAGCGTCGAAGTCGTGAAGGGCTTGGACCTCACCTTCCAGGCTGGCAGAACTGCTGCTCTCGTTGGTGCGTCTGGATCCGGTAAATCGACCATCATTTCCCTCGTCGAACGCTTCTACGACCCCACCGCTGGAACTGTGAAGCTCGACGGCCGCAACGTCAAGGACCTCAACTTGAGATGGCTCCGCTCGCAAATTGGTCTTGTCTCTCAGGAGCCTACTCTCTTCGCCACCACCATCAAGGGCAATGTCGCTCATGGTCTGATTAACACCAAGTGGGAGCACGCCTCGGAAGAGGACAAGGACAAGCTCATCAAGGAGGCCTGCATTAAGGCTAACGCGGATGGATTCATTACTAAGTTGCCGCTTGGATATGAGACCATGGTCGGCGAACGTGGATTCTTGCTTTCTGGTGGGCAGAAGCAGCGTGTGGCCATCGCTCGCGCTATCGTCTCGGATCCCCGTATCTTGCTGTTGGACGAGGCTACTAGCGCCCTCGACACCCAGTCTGAAGGTATTGTGCAGGACGCTTTGGACAAAGCTTCTGCCGGTGAGTCTTTATGGAATTCTTATCTGTCAGTTTCCTCATTCACTTTGTAGGACGTACTACCATCACCATTGCTCATCGTCTCTCGACCATCAAGGACGCCGATGTTATCTATGTCATGGGCGACGGCCTCGTCCTCGAACAAGGAACCCACAACTCGCTCCTCGAAGCTGACGGCGCGTACGCGCGCCTCGTTACCGCACAGAAACTCCGCGAACACACCGAATCCCACCTGGAGATCGATGATTCCGAATCAGAGATTTCGCAGAAGGATATGGAGAAGGCTGCCCGCGAGGAGATCCCCCTTGGTCGTAGAAACACCCAACAGTCGCTCGCAAGTGAGATCCTCGAACAGAAGCGCAAGGCGCGCGAGGCTGCTGGAGGCGAGAAAGAGGAAGCGTTCGGCATGTTATACTTGTTCCAGCGCATGGCTCCTCTCATCCGCGACCAGTGGAAAAACTATATCATTGGCTCTATCTTTGCCTGCAGTGCGTTATCCTTCCAGATCTCTAAAGTCTGCCAGTTCTGACGCTGATTGCAAGTGACTGGATTGGTCTATCCCGCTTTTGGTGTTGTGTACGCAAAGGGTATTGAAGGTTTCTCTGCCCTGGATAATGCCAGCCGGCGTTTTCAAGGTGACAGGAACGCGCTGTGGCTGTTCGTCATCGCTGTCATCTCGACGATGGCCATCGGCTTCCAGAACTATCTCTTCTCGGCTTCAGCGTCCACGTTGACAGCGCGCTTGCGTACACTTAGCTTCAAGGCTATTTTACGGCAGGACAGTGAGTACTTGTGTTCAATTTGAGAGTATGATTGCTGATGCGTGCGTGTGCGCATAGTTGAATTCTTTGACAAGGATTCAAACAGCGTCAGTTTTTTTTAATGTTCATTGACGCTGCTAGATACTCATTCCTTCCTTACATCTAGACTGGAGCTTTGACCGCTCAACTCAGCGACAACCCTCAGAAGGTCAACGGTCTCGCGGGTATTACTCTCGGTGCCATCGTGCAGTCCGTCGCTACCCTTATCGGCGGCTCCATCCTCGGTCTCATCTTCATCTGGAGGGTCGGTCTCGTCGGTATTGGTACGTTTCTCGTTTGTAGCCACGATTCCATCTTACTGATTGATCGAATTCCAGCATGCACCCCTCTCCTCGTGTCAACCGGTTACATCCGCCTTGTACGCTCTCTAATTAAACTTCTTGCACGACGGCCCTCATCTATTTTTTTTTTCTATCGTAGCGCGTGGTCGTGCTCAAGGATCAGGCGAACAAGAAGGCCCATGAAGACTCCGCGCAACTGGCCTGCGAGGCTGCTGGTTCTATCCGGACCGTCGCCTCCCTCACGAGGGAAGAAGACTGCGTGAGGCTGTACAGCGAGAGTCTCGAGGAGCCCCTCCGCAAGTCGAACAAGACCGCTTTCTGGAGTAACCTGCTCTACTCGTTCTCGCAGGCTTGTGGCTTCTTCGTCATTGCTCTTATCTTCTGGTATGGCGCCACCCTTGTGTCAAAGCAGCAGGCAACCACCTTCGAGTTCTTCGTCGGTCTCATGGTATGTTTTCGTCGGCATTGTCTATCCTTTTCGTACACTTGTCTTACTAAACTATTCGCTTTTTAGAGCACGACCTTCGGCGCCATCCAAGCTGGCAATGTATTCTCGTTCGTTCCTGATATCTCGTCGGCCAAGGGCGCCGGCTCTGACATCATCAAGTTGCTCGACTCCGTTCCGGAAATCGACGCCGAGTCCAAGGAGGGCAAGGTCGTCGACCAGAAGGCGGTCGAAGGCCACATCAAGTTCGAGAACATCCACTTCAGGTACCCCACTCGTCCTGGTGTCCGTGTTTTGCGCGATCTCTCGTTTGAGGTTGAGCCAGGCACCTATATCGCCTTGGTCGGAGCCAGTGGGTCGGGCAAGAGTACGGCGTGAGTATTCGTTTGGATCTTTCATTCAGGTTGTCCTGTGCTGACTCGCGTTCGTCCTACAGTATCCAACTGATCGAGCGGTTCTATGACCCTCTCGCCGGAGAAGTCTACGTAAGCCGTTTCGTCTCTCGCAGGTTGTTTGAAGTCTCATCATATCTGTTTCCTGTCGTTTAATAGCTTGACGGCGAGCGTATTACCGACCTGAACATCCAAGAATATCGCAAGCATCTGGCATTGGTCTCGCAGGAGCCGACATTGTATGCTGGAACTGTTCGCTTCAACATCATGCTCGGCGCTATCAAGCCTGCCTCGGAAGTTACACAAGAGGAGATCGAGGAGGCTTGCCGAAACGCAAACATCTTGGAGTTCATTCAGGGACTGCCTCAGGGCTTCGATACCGAAGTCGGTGGCAAGGGTTCACAATTGTCTGGTGGCCAAAAACAACGTATTGCCATTGCCCGTGCCCTACTGCGCAACCCCAAGGTGCTTCTGCTGGATGAGGTATGCATATTCCTCGGCCTTCGTGTGAACGGGGTGCTGATTAACCTTTTACTCAGGCTACCTCCGCGCTTGACTCCAACTCCGAGAAGGTCGTGCAAGCCGCACTCGATCAAGCAGCGAAGGGCAGGACGACGATCGCCATTGCACACAGGTTGTCGACGATTCAGAACGCAGACCGAATGTAAGTCTTCGTGTTCACTATTGCCAGGGTTCCGTTCTGACGGCGCTGTGTTCTTTTTCTAGCTACTTTATCAAGGACGGCCATGTCAGCGAATCGGGCACGCACGACCAACTGCTGGCGAAACGCGGCGACTATTACGAATATGTGCAGCTGCAGGCGCTGAGCAAACGCGAGTAAAGTAAACGAACGACCAAGCAAGCACGACGGACATTGCATTCGTTAGAATTTTTATCAGCTTTCCCCCGTACCCTAAACATCCCCTTCTTGCTATTTTTGAGCAACATTTGCTATCTATTTTACGATACTCATGCCGGTTACCCCTACTACTCACCGCCCATGCATCATCATCACCACGCTGTTGTGCAGTACTGGCTCGCGTTACATAGTTCACCAGCTGCTGTTTCAATGCCTCCTTAATACAAGATTCATAATAGACAACATGCATGCAACATGAGGCCTTGTGTGAAGAAGACGAAGTGCGCGGAGTGAGAAGGAGTATATAGTGTGTTGGAGCGACAGAGGGCGACAAACCACGATATTTCGCGAAGAATGAGCCGACCAGCATCGAGGAGAGGGCACCGACGGGTGGTGATTGTGGGGGAGGGCCTGGGGGTGCTGAATGGCGTCGTTGCCGGCGTATCTTCCCACGGGAGCAGCGATATGAATGGACGAGACCACGTGGCCAGCTCTTTCTTCACTCGCTCTTCGCCCAACCCTCCCTCTCACACCAACGCCAAAATGTCCGTCCAGCTCAACCCAAGCAGCTCTCTTGGCTTCCGACGTGCGTCCCCCGGCCTTCCCGCCCCTGCTCCTCATATCTCACTCACTGTCGTCGCACAGGTCCCCTCACCACCCTCGTCAAGCGCTCGCTGACGATTACGAATAATAACCCCCAGCCGGTAGCCTTCAAGGTCAAGACCACTGCCCCAAAGGTGCGCGCTGTCTCCGTTATCGCCTCGTTGTCTGTGTTGACGCCTCGTTGCCTGCCAGCTCTACTGCGTGAGGCCCAACTCAGGAAGGGTTGAGCCCGGCGAGAGCGTCGATGTATCCGGTAAGCAGATGCCAATTCTGTTGAGATTATCCCGTTGTTGACCCAGACATGCGCCGGCAGTCATGCTGCAGGCCCTCAAGGAGGAGCCACCGCTGAACACCAAGTGCAAAGACAAGTTCCTCATCCAGAGCACCATCATCACTCCTGACAAAGAGACCTTGGCGCTACATGATATCGTACGCAGCTCTTTTTTCTCCGCACACGTCATCGAGGCTCATTCGCGCTTCCTTCCTTGTTCCTTTTTGTCTTTGGTTTGGTTGGTCAATCGGGTGGATAGTGGGCGAGTCCAGATGCAAATGAAGAAGGCAAGGTCTTCCAGCAGAAGCTCCGTGTCACCTACCTGCCCGCAGAGGGCCAGGTCCTCGAGGAGGAGGAGGAGAATCAAGTTGGAATGACATCGACACTTACCGCCAATGATTCAATTTCAGTGAGTCCCATCCCATCTATACGACTCCTCGTTTTACTGCGTGATCTCGAGTGGCATACTGATTGGTAATGTGCATCACAAAAGCATTATGATACCGTTCGCCAGGCGCCGGCGACGACAAACGGCCACCATCCATTCGCCCTCGACTCCCAAATCGCCCCCGCCCCGTCACAACTATTCCAGGAAGAGCAACAACGCTCGTTCACGCCCATCCCGGAGCCTGTCGACGCTAACGTGTCGCAAGAGACCGCCCAGCCAACTATCCCTCCAGCCGATGAGCCCGTTCATCGTTCGCTAACGCCGCCTCCGCCCCAGCAACCTGAGTCCGACCGTGCTCCGTCCCCTGCATCTATCCCTGTTCCAGCACCCGTTACTGTACCGGCCGCTGCGCCTGCGCCCGTCCAACCTGAGCCGATCTACATCACGCGCGAGAACCCAGTCAACGAGGAGCTGTACGCGAAATACAACACGGCGCTGGCGGAGATTGAGAAACTCCATGGACAGATCGCCGCCCTGTCGTCGGAGGTGGCACAGGCGCAGCAACAGATTCTGCTCTACCAGCAGCAGGCCGTTACGCAGCAGGAGCTCCGCAGGCGCACGAGAAGACTGTCGGACGCGGATAGCGCGGCGGGATCGGACGTTCAGACGATGGTCGAGGATCCACCGCTTCAGCAAGAGGGTGTGCCGTTGCAGGTTGTCGTTATCATCGCGCTGGGGGTGTTCGTTACGACCTATCTTTTCTTCTAGGGGCGTTTAGCTTTTTTTATTCCTTTTCCTTCCCCGTCACCTTGACCTTATCCTTGCTCTCTCCGCCCCGCATATAATCTGGTCTTACATACAACCTTCTCTTTAAATTTCTTTCTGATTCTGTTTGTTTGTGTTACTTATATTTATTTCCGACCACCATTATGAAAACCCCTCGCCCCTACCTACCCACTGCAATGCGTTCCCTTTCTTGCCCGTAGCTGAAAGGCACGATGCGCCGCTCTCTTTTAACACTTATACTTTTTCTGTGTCACATATATGCGCCATTCTCTTGTTGTCCCTTTACGTAGTTGGTTGGCTGCTGCTCAAAAAAATTGTCCTGAGCCAAAGACTACATTCTTTTTTGTGAGACGGGTTCGGTGCACACCAAAGGCTGGTTCTAGGTTTCTTTTTACTTATTCAATACTTTTGTCTTGTGTCTTATGTCTTTATTTCAAGCATCAATTATCTTCATCTACCATCATGATGTCTGTGCCTTGTTCTCCTTCGCCTTCCATTCTGCATGTCATCTCTGTTTCAACGCGGTGATTAGAGCGTCCTCATGAGACTCCCTAGCTTCGCCTGAAGAACAGAAGCAAATTTTGGGTAACTCTGATCTATCTCTTCTGAGTTCATGACTTCGAAACTCGTCCAAGCTGCCAGCTGGAAGGTTGTAACTTTGATAAGACTCCTAGGGCAGATGGAGACCTCAGGCCATGGTTCATGACGCCGACGGCAAATTGCCTCCGTTGGCCATGACGTCGACCTATCCCCACTCTGAAATCAACAATTTGGTTCGATTTGCCTCCGTCAAATCGTAATCTGTCAGAGCAGCGAAATCACACACTAGCAGCCGTCCTCCGACGATCTATCATGGGACAAGTATTTTTGCTACCTGCCGCCTGCTTGATTTTGTACAGGATACGATCAAGCCGTCTTGTGTGCGTGCAGCTTCGCTTCGATAGCCTCTGCAAGGAGCCTGTGTACGCGTTCCGTTGGGTGGCCAGAGTCTGTCAATCACGACAACAGAAATTAGAGGGCGGAAGGAGAACGGGATGACGTTGATTGACGTACCATACCAGAAGAATCCCGCGGGATCAGCGCACTTGCAGAATCTGGAGGTGGGTGTTAGTCCGCATGCGGTGACGGAGGCAGATCACAGATCATTTGCCATTCGGAAGATCAGGAAAGGTAACTAATGCCAAAGGTGGAACGAAAGCGGGGCAGAGGCAGAAGCAAACCCGAGCGGGGTAAATAGTGATGAAGGCGGAGGCGTGTGTTTATGGACGGGCTACTTACCCAGTCGTATTTGTAAACCCATATGAAAGAGGGTCGTCGAGGACGGCGTTGAACCATGTGTTGGCATCGAACGTGATTACTTCAGTTCCTATTGCCAGAACGTCGACAACGTCAGTCCGAGAAATTAGGTCAAGGGTTTCTAGTGAAATCACTAACGGGGATTACTTTTCTTAAAACTGATGATGTGGGAGGAAAGGACAGAGTTGAACTGGGCTATATGCGCCTTGAGGATGGCAGCCTTGGTCGAATTGTTCACGGTGGATGGTGCGCGTTCTCCTGGCGGAACGTTGACGAAGAGGTGGGTATGTAGGCCACGATCTGTGGCTACTTGCTGTACATATCGGACGTACGATTCAACCGAACGGAATTCATTAATACAACTGTGACGAAGACAGATGGTGGATGTGTTGTACTCACTACAGCCCTGAAGTAAGAGGCCACTTCTTGCTCCCAGAACGCGTTGGAGTCGACTATCTGACAATAACGAGGCGTTGTATGAGACACAGCTCCATGGGTAGAGGATTTGTTGCACGTACTGTGGCATTGTTGACTGCGTCTCCTGTATCGTTGATACCGATCCACCAGGCCGCCAGCGTCTGTCCTGGTGAATGGGGGATGGAGTCTGCAGCATAAGTGCTCCATTGCTTCAGTTGATCGACCAGAGGCACCGTATAGTCGTGGTGCAAGGGTAGTCTAAAATTGGGCCGGTAGTGAGTCTTCGCCGAGCTTGAAGACAACATGGATTTGGTCCAATGCTTACAGATTCGCGTCAATATCTGCTCCTGCAAAGGCAAAGTCCCAAAGCTGCCTCCTGCATCTTGCTGGTCTACCTGAGAAACATCCGGTCAAGAACTCGAGCTATAGAGGCGAGGACAGCCGTCAGTCTGCGTCTTCGATGTCCAAGGCGACAAAAATAAATACCCAGTTGGAGCCATCGGAACTCGTCTGTCACGATAGTTCATCGACGGAGATATGATTGACATCGCGATGGACGTACATATCTCGGTATTATCTCGTTGGTCAACAGCTCTTCTGGTGTGAAAGCAAAGTCCAGAGCATCTCCGATGAAACTGGTCACGATAGAGGCAAATGTCGGCGTCAGCAAAGGATGGCAGAAATATTGGTGGTAATACAGACCTGTAATTCGCGCGTCCACGAGTACCCTGGACGAAGGAATAAGAATCTCCGAATGCATGCACATATTTGATTCGATCCCAGTTAAACTTCGTTGGCGTCAGATTTGTATTGCCTGCAGGCACTTCTGGGACTATTTGTGCATCAACTCGAGGCAGCCCACCGGAAACGCAGTTCAGCAGCACCGCAGAAAGCACGAGAAGTGGCGTATTCATGGCGTATAGATGCGAGGGCAAGCATATCCTCTACCTTCGCAGATATATCCTCCACCGGCATCCAAAACATATGGACCACCCAGTCAGATGATGGGGTAGGTTCTGGCAGGTTCTTCTCTTGAGCATCGATAGCGGACCGCCGGATGATCTAAGGACATGCATGCATATCGCATCAGGCTGAGAAAGAGTAATAGAAAGGAGTCAGAGTTTTATTTGTGACTTGGCGCTCTGAAGATGGATTTAGTTGAATAAGTACTCTAGAGTTGAACATGCGAGACAGAGGGGAAACTGACCAATCAATCGTAGCGACCAATCGTGCGCGTAATGACCAACCAATCATAGGCCCAGAATTAGCCCCCGCCGGACCCCGCGCCGGCCGCAAAAACACCTCGTAGCGGCTCATGTCATCATTGAACCTGTTCATTACGAATGGCTTCCAAACATCCTTCCAACCACCTCAATACCTTCCAACGACACCATGGACCCTTATAACAAGCAGAAATCGCCTCTCAGGCCTCTCCTCGTCGCCGCCGCCGCCGTTTTCGGACTTCTTTTCGTTGCGTACAAGCTCTTCAACTCTGAGAGCCCAGCAGTTACAGTCAACAAGGTCAGTGGGAACTGACAGGTGGTATGCTGCCCCTCATGCAGCTTATCTACCAGGCCATCGTCATCCTGAACGGAAATTCCCCTGTCACCGGTACTGTAACTTTCGAGCAAACGTCGCCAGATGGACCTGTGAAGGTAACCGGAGAAATTCTCGGTCTTTCCCCAAACGCATTACGAGGATTCCATGTCCAGTGCGCCATTTTACCTTATGAAATTACCATTGACCAATATCCTTTTCTTCCCCCCCCCTTTTTTTTTTTTACCACCATGGGTCGTTAGTCAATCGGGTGACCTGAGCGGAGGATGCAACACCGCTGGCGCACATTTTAATCCGTACGGAAAAACTCATGGTGCGCCGGCAGACGCCAACAGACACGTTGGTGATCTGGGCAACATCGAGTCCAATGGGTCTGGAGAGGCTAGCTTTGTCTTCACCGATAAGCTCATCTCTCTCAACGGGCCGATCAGCATCATTGGGTGAGTGCTCTTCCCCCTTCGTGCCACCCTCACTCTGCTAATTCAAATTTAATTAGGCGGTCTGTGGTTGTTCATGCAGTTTGTATATTATATCATTATATTTTTCTTACTGATGACCCTCTTTCGTCAATCTAGGGCACAGACGACCTAGGCCGGGGAGATAATGAAGAATCTCTGAGGACTGGCAACGCTGGAGCCAGAGCCGCCTGCGGTGTTATAGGTGCGCATTCTATCTCTGCATTTTCCCCCGAGTTGTTTAACGATCCATTTGGCAGGCCTCGCCTAATGCACTCAAAAATTCCTCAAGAACTGCAAATATACCCTGGCGAATAAACCCTTGTTTCAGATGTTCTGATTGTATATGCTATATCCTTGCTTCCCGACTATTTCTCTACTGGCATTGGTAGTAGTATGGAGGAGAGACGGCATTGCAGGTATACGGGCTCACACAAGACGTTGGACCAGTGTATCCGGTACCTGAATTCAGCTTCGTTGTAAAATTATTCAACAGCCATAAAAAAATCACTTACCGCCGCACTGACCCCATTGCGTTTGCTGGGGACCAGTAGCAGTTGTCGTGGTCGCTGGAGCAGTTGCCGTTGGGGGAACGGCAGTCGTGGTAGGGGGTTGAGCAGTGGTTCCGTCTGAGGTGGTGCCCGGAGTGGTCGAGCCGTTTCCGATGGTGGTAGTGATGGTGCCGGACTCGATATAGACGCCGGAAACGTACCAGTCCTCGGGAGGTGGCGTGTTAACGATGCGGAGTACACCGACGTGGAAGTCGGCAGAGTTGGTCGAGGTAGACGCCGCCATATTGTTGACGACTTTGACGAGGGGGTTACCGCCCGTGGAGGCCCAGAGACCGACGGTGCTCGCGGAGAACTGAGCCGCCCTTAGTCACCGGGACTTCAAGCAACGGGATTTGGACTCACGTTGATGTCATATGCGAAGTTAAACCAGGTGTCCGCAGTGAAGTCCGTGCTCCATCTTTCCTGCCCTCCGATCATCCAGACGAGGTTCGTGGGCCGGGAGCCGACGCCGTATTTAAGCTGCGGATAACCAAATTTAGGCATGCGCCACACCGAAGTCTGACGAGTCGCGTACCTCAGTGAAGTGACTCTCGAAGAACATTATCTGGTGCTCGAGCGTCGACTGAAAATGTCAGGAACACATTAGAGAACTCGGAACTCTGTGAAGGAGAAATGCCTTACGTCAGGTGCATTTGTATTCGAGCGCTTGATGGAGAAGTGGTAGTACATCTGGCCAGTTCCAAGGTTGGCTGTGGTTTGTGGAATGAGCTCGGCGCGTTCCATGTTTGAGTTCCATGTCGCTGTGGAATCGATTGTCATCTTTAGCCCATGCCTTTCGTTTGTGTGCGCCGGGTTCTTATACGATGGGTCAAGGGCGAGGTAACGGGAGGTCGGGTTGCTTCCATGGATATACTAGCGATCCGTGGTTTTTATGTTAGGAAGAGCCCCCTTCTAGGGTATATTTCACGACGTACCCATTGGTATGTGCCGACTTGGTTGGCCCAAGACCCTGCAAATGGAACAATTTTAGTAAAAATTTCCAAAGAGGGGAAGCGTAAGGACGGCCAAGCGTGTCCAAGCGGTCGCGGCGCCCTCGACAACAAAACAAAAACGAACATTTATCGAAGTCTGCCACGGTGTTGAAGTTGTTGAATGTTCCATCCCAAACGATCGTTCCCGCCTGCGCGACGGTGGAAAACGCGGCGAAAAGAGCCCACATGAAGTTCACCATGGCTGACAGCTAGAAAGCCCAAGACTGGAGTGAAGATCACGGTTACCATGCAATGGTATGTCCCTTATATACGCCCGCAGGATGCCTCAACGGTTATTGCGATTTGTCGGCACACTCTCGCTCCACGCGAAGTCGCCTTCCTTGGGATAAACATCGGGCACGGAGGAATCAGAGCGGTATGTCCACGATTCAGCCATAAAAGCACGTCACGAGGCGCCGCATGCGGGGGTAATTAGAATACAAGATTGTGCAATACGATAGTCTGTAATTATTCCGAGGGTATCAAATGCGCAATTGTGGAAGATAGATATGCAAGAGAATTTCCGTTGTGCAACAGGGAAAGGAAGCAGAACGCCGACAACAAAGCTTGCCATGTACTGACTCGAAACCGCTCATGAACGTTCAGTCCTGCTGCTTCCTGAACATCCACGACGTGAGCCATGATTTCGTGCTCTGAGATTTGGTTGCTTCCGCGGTTTCCTCCTCGAGCCTATCACGCAGCGCCTGCCGTTCCTCTTCTAGCACTTCGTGGAAGATAGCCTGTGCAGTGGATACATTCTGACTTCGAGACAATTTCGGGATGGAGAGAGATATCCGGGAAGAAGAGCTGTTGGCAGCCACGAAGTCTGCCTGCGCATGAGTGTCAGGTCGAAGGCCGAATTCTTGATCCGAAGAACGAGCCCTCTCCACGCCTGCTGACGGTAGCTGCAGTGCGGACATGATCGAACCAGAACGTATCCGTCCACTACTTGTCGCGGAGAGAGGAGGTGGACCATCAGAGAACGAGCGGGGTGACACCAGAGGCCTGTCGAGGATAGATGGGCGTCGCTTCGATGTGGTGGACAATGGGCCAATGCTGCCCCCTTGGTCGCCACTGACTTTCCGAGGCAACAGCATCGAAGACTTGCGAGGTCGGACTGTGTGCTCGACATCCTTCTCCTTCGCTTGCACACGTTTCGCAATGACAAGGGGCAGGTCGATCTCCTCAGTGCCATCGACCTCTGAGATAGACAGAGCAGGTGGCGGCCCAGGTGATCTCGGCGTACTCGCGGGTGGCGAGGGGTCTTGACCTCGTGTTGATTGCGACAATTCCTCGGGTGAGTCTGATTCCCCCAGGCCCAACCACGTTCCTAACCGTCCAGCAACGGCTTCAACAGTCAACGACACCTTCAAATCGACCGTGTCATCGAGATCTAGAGTGCACGAAGGATTCCTCGGAAGCCAAAGCGTGTTTCCTATGGCCCTCGTATAGAATGGGTTGTCGTATGGAAGGTCAACCAAGAGCTGATCATCCCATGGAACAGGAAGGGGATGGGGTACGACCGGACCTGTAAGAAGCGGGTCGGAGATGCCGGTAGTGATCAAACCCGGATCGTGCTTCAGCTTATGGGCGGGCATTTGCCAAGGATAGCCATCTGGAGTAGCTTTCGTCTTATTTGAAGGCTCTGCCTGGGGCAAATTGTGTGGGCTAAGCTGCCCAAGCTGATCTCGAGGGTTTGAAGACTCCGGGTCTCGTGTCAGATCCTTGTCCCTGTGGGGTCCGAAGGGATTAGGTCGCCGATGTTGTGGCCGATGTCCTCGGCGTTGCAAAGTAGAATATGAGAAGTTGACCCAACCAGGCAGTTTCCATGTCAGAACAGATGCGCTAGGCTTGTGATGCTTCATAAATCCGTTTTCTTGGGGTTTCCCGACTGCGGCGATTAGTTGTTCAGATTCGGGGTCTCGAACTTCGGATGGCTCCCGCTGGCGATTGTTGCAGATAATCTCTGCTTGGAGTTTGTCGTCGAGTTCATATTGCGCACGAATCATTCGTGTTAGGCTAAGAAGACGTCAGAGAACTGCTAGTCGGAAAAGAAAAGTATCATACATCACTTTGACCAAGACCGTAAAGACGATCAAGAAACCGGCCAACCCGACATTGACACTTTTCTTAAGTACAACCATATATGCAAGAAATACAGCCTGAGGAGTAAGGTTAACAGCAAACATGGTAGTATAAGAAGGCTTCTGAACCTGAGAGAGCACCAATCCATCAAGGGAATATCGTACAAATCGTATAAGGAGCACTCTTCCGTCGCTTTCATAATTCTTGGCGTAAACATGAAGAAGCTGGAAAGCAATAAGTAACAAGCTCATCGAAGAAAGAAGACAAGAACCCACTTGATTTTTGACAACACCGGTCTGAATGAAAAAATATAGTGTTCCGAATGGCAAGACAAATGGATTGAATATTGAAAATAGGAGCAGAACGTGAATGACTAGAGTGTGATTGGGAAGCCAATAATAAAAATTGAAGGTTCGTGGTCGGATGCCAACAGCGCGTTTGCGTCTGGGATTACGATTATCATAGCTGTGAGGAGAACATGCATCGAAACTTACGGCGTGACTTGTCGTGAGGTCGTAGGATACATAATGAGAGGTAGCTGTTACAGAGTGAGTCTTCAATAGAGAGGCGAGGAGGAAATGGGACGCACTCCGACTGAAAAATAAAATCAAAGTAGATAATTAGTAGGAGCGTAGAGTAAAAACCGATTGGAGGCTTACGTAGAGACAATTCAAATCCTCCATGCATAGCAGTCGTAAAAATGACTAAACACCACACATCAGCATCTCCTATACCTTCGACCAATCATGAGGAACTTACGCCAACCGACGTAAAATGGACCAGCTGTAGGGAAACTACTGGCAACAGTCTGGATCACGTCCAATCTAGAAGAATTGGAGGAGCTGAATGATTGTAGGAACGACTGAAGGGCAGCCGTTCCGACGCAGAAGAATACCAGGACGTTAACGATCAGGAACTTGTAGTAACGTGTCATGATAAGATCATGCAGAGCGGACAGTGTAGTGATTGTATGCGCTTTCTTTGCGATGAGGAGAAGGATGAGTGGAATGAGAATGGCGAGAAGTGCTACGAGGAGCGTCGGTATGAAGGATTGCAGAACTTCCGACTCCCAGGCATGCTTGTCGAGGTACGCTTTCTAGAGGGGCGTTAGCACAATGACGCTAGGTAGCTCGGGCGCCGTGCTCACTAGACTTGGCCAGAAAAGCGAGATGTTTTGAATGGACACCAGACCAACCAGAAGGGAGACTGGGAATAGCCAGAATAATGTGAAGCCCCTAAATATCGAATTAGCATTTGGATAATGGTGTCGAGGATCGGGACCTCACCAGACACCAATGTTGACAACCCAATCCTTGAGGAACTAAACAAATGGTAAGATCAGTATTGACTGGTCAAAGCTAGTCTCTCACCTCGCCCTTGTAGGACGACTTCATCACCCTAATCCAGTCAATATCTTGATACACCGGTGCCATGGTTACCAGACAGGCCAGAGGATTGTTTGGATGCACGGCAAGGTACTTGCATGCCCTCCTCGCATCCGCAGGGTCTGCAAATGTAACAAATGCAGTCGAGACAGCGTCGTAGTCTGTCACAGCCTTCGCCCTATTCTCCGTAATCAAGGAGGTGAGGAGGTTGAGCTTCGCAGTGTAGTAGTCTACTGAGGGCACAATCTTCCCTCGAAATAGATGGCTCAGATTCACCAGAGGTTGATATGCGTCCAGGCTACTGCGGGGCAACGATAGCAGGGCGTCCCAAATAGTCTGTTCCCGTGATTCGCCCGCTCGAGAGCTCAGAGTAGGCGTGGAGAGGACAGGTGGGTATGCAGAACCGTTGACAGGCGAGTCAGAGTTGTCCGAATCATCTACGCTACCTTGAGTCCTGAGCTTCCTGAACGCCATCCTCGATGTCCGCGAAACTGCCTTCTTCGACCTCGTAGTTAAAGGCCTCTGCGTGCCGAACTCCTCCACAAACGGTCCCAGAACATCAATGAGCTGTTCCATTCTCTCTTCTTCGTCCAAGCCGCCGTCCTCTTGGGGTACCCCTCGTTCCGCGTCAACCGCTAGCGAGCGTCGTTGGCGCACTACCTCAGCAGAACGAGAAGCACCTTGTCCGATCGGCTTGTTGGCGCACTTGCGTTCCATGGCGGCCTTTACCGCGAGCAACGCCTTATTCGCCAGCTTGATGTGCGCGGTCTCGAGGTGCACGAGAATCTCCTCCCGTCGCTCCAGAAGCGACGCAAGCTCAGTCATCTTGCGTGCAACAACGACACGCTCGATCATGGGTGTATCGAGAGATCTCCGCTTTGACGCTCTCTTAGATTCTTTACCCTCTTTCCCATCCTCTGACTCGCCTTCCCTGTCGTGCCGGTTATTGAGTGGATTCGACGGAAGGTGTGCTGGAAGGCGCTTGGCTCGGTTGAAGAGGAAGGCGAAGGATTTATTGAGGAAGCCTGGTTGAGTGGAGGAAGTAAGGCCCATGGAAGGTTTCTCGACCTTCCGTGACATGTAGTATTCAAAGTATTCTTGTAGGTCTTTCTCGTTTCTGAGGGAACTCGGGATGTTGGAAACCATGATTGTCCGTAGCCGGAGACCATTCACTGGGTTGTCGCGATCTCGTGATGGAACGTCTTTGAAAGCATATTGAGGATGAGGGTGTTGGTAGTACGTCGTATCTCCTTGCATGATGCCATCCTCGTTCTCCAATTCTTTCGCAGACGCTCGAATGTTGGCAGCACGTAGTTCGAAGGCTCCGTTGATTATCCAAAAGAGTGTTGCCATCCAGGAAAGCGTAACCCAAAACAATAGACATATGTGCATCCATAGCAATGATAACCCCTTGGAAGTGCCAACCAGAGACGAGATGGATGCTCTGGTCATCGACTTCTTGGGTATTGAGGGATCAGAGAATTCGACATGGACTGGGAATAGAATGGGGAAAGTCGTAAGGAGTTGGATCAAGGCGAACCAAACTTGAGTAGAGCTATATTTAACCCAACGCCAGAAACTAAGATTAGAGTGAACTTACAAGATCCTCTCAGAAATCGTACATAGAGTGTAGCATCCACACCACGCAATTCGTTCAGTTTCTCTTCAGGAAACATAACCACTTGCTTCACCCACGAGAGCGGCCACCCACCAGGTGACGGAGGAGAAGGAAGTCTTAGAAGCTCCTCCATCAATCAACCAAAGAACCAACGTCAGAACGACAACATACCGTGCCCATGACCTTCCTTGATATAGACTGTAGAGCGCTGTTAGTAGGGAGAGAAAGTGAATGAGAAAGGTACTCACTAGCCAAACTCCCAGGATTCCTTGCTACCCAGACCTGGAGGAGGGTCAAGGAGGGCCTTGCCTCTCCTCCTGCGCTTCATGAGTTCCTGCCCACCGACGCATAATAGGGTTATTCCAACGGCAATAACGGATTGATTGACGAGACCACTGCATAGGAGACCGGTGAGTGTGGGGCCGCGAGGAGGTCATCGCTGGCAAGGTTAAGGACGGCTGACCTGTAGTTCTTGGAGAAAGGCCGCGTCTGAATATCACCCATTCGATACTGGATTGCGAGTGGAGGTGAAGAGGGTCAGGATGCGACTGGCATGAAGTAGGGCAGAAGTGGTGCGAGTGATATAACGTCCCGAATTGGGGATCCTGGAAAGAAGCGTCACACGTGATGACCCACTCAAATCCGGGCTGGAAAAGTCTCAAGAAGCATTCTATTCCACCAAAATATTCTACTGTGCTTTTCTACTTCGTCCTCATAATCCGAAGCTTGTTCGGCTTGTAAACATAGTTCTCAGCATAGTTCTTTGGTGGGATGCGTTTCACCGTCGATTGTTGTCTGAGACCATAAGATGAGCCCGTTGTTAATGGAGGAGACGCAGAGACGTACACATAATAATCCCATCCTTACGAACAATAAATTCAGAAACGATTTGCCTGCACAACCGATGTGACACACCTTGCTTTTCGGCGAAATGTATGGCATCCTCCTTGCTTCGGAAGGATATGCGCGTTCCCTGCATGTAGTCCGCCCTAGTAACTGAAGTCAGACGGATCCTAACAGGGTTACGATATGGCGCACGAGCTGGCGTAGCCCATCAAGGGGTTCTCCCAGCGTCCACCTCCTTGAAGAATATCGAAATCGATACGCCAACGCTCGGACTTGCCGGAGCCAGACTGCATGGTGTTGCGCGTGGGTTGGTAGATGCGCACAGCGCGGTGACGAAGCTCGCCTGCTGAGTTTAGTGTCTTTCACCGCTCCAGAGGTGTTGCAACATACTTGGAGCACCACTAATCACGTCCGCGACCAGAACATCACGAGTAGGCTGCACTGCGATGTCGCCCGACTTCTCTTCCGTCTTCTTCTCTGCGGCGTTTCCTGCCTCCGTGGATATATTTCGGGGGAGATGGGAAGCAATTGAGATCCTTGCGGTCCGTAGCAGTGACACGGACTGCTTGGAAGCGCGGAGCAACAACATGATGAGGGGAAGCGGACTCTTCTGAGTCTTCACTCAGGCGTCGAGGCCGTCATCTGCGGATGGTTGTCTGTGTTTGCCCCCAATGCCGACGCCTTCAAAGCCCCTATTCTCACCTCAGAGGCCCTTATCCTCAGAGGCTATGGATAATGTCGTCGGAAATACAACCCACAGCGGTTTAATCTATCGATTTCCCTTACTCATTGCCGACCAAAGCCATTTTTTGCGAGCGAAGCGAGCATCTATCGGCTCTAAGGGCTGGGGGGCCCGGACAATTAAGTACAAATTTTCTGCAAGCACGCCGGGCAGGCCCGGTGTGCATGAAGACGTTACTCTGCCTCTTCCCTCTCTCTGTACCGCTATTATTATGCGTCTAAATAGACAAATATCATGTAAGGAACGCTTTTGAGCGAAAAAACTAGAAAGATCGGCACAAAATCGGGCTGTTATTATGGTATGTGGCCAATTCCGTGCTGTGGGAGGCCGGGGGGTCATTTACCAAGGTCGGCCTCATCCCGAGATGCGTAAACTGGTCCCTTCTCTAGAAGAGATATGTAAGAGATACCGGCTCAGTTTACGGGTCATTTGACTGTAGTTTCATGTCGCCGATGGCATGGAGCTTCAGATATTCACAATCATTGGGATCTGGAGCCATGAAACCTCAGCTCAATGTCCTCAGTTATTCTCTGTTTTACAAATAGTCTATAGACATATTTTACTTAGAAGAACCATAAGTTGGCCTAAGTGAGATGGCGCAGCGAGCCTTCCCCCGCCTACGGCGGTTGCTTAATAAAGTACTTAGGAGCGTTAGAGTCCTATGACACCGGGCCGAGAGATTGTTCGCACGACTTGATCGCCAATAATGGGATGCAATCATCGATCCTCGTCATCTGACATCGCACATAACCCCCAAGTCGCCAGTCGTCGGCGACCTACGTAACGCGTACACCACGTCGTCATACGGCGCCCTGCTCACAAACCCGATAAACCATTGGGCGGCCGCCCAAGCACCAGCCGCCACTCCCTCTGAGATGCATGTCCACGTTGCTGCGGCCGCTCCGGCTTCGGTCTTGACCGCATCGTCATCGGCCACCCTCGTCGATGTCGGGAACGGTAATTCCGCGATGCTATTCACGGAATTAGAGAACAAGAACTCCGCTGAACAGGTCTCTTGGTCCCAAAGTCGTGTGCTTGAATTGGAGTGCTCATTTCCTTACCTGTTCGCTCATAGCTCGGATGGCTCAAGAATCAGCTTGCACTCGAGAATCGCATCAAGGAAGGAGCGGAGAATTTGTTGAATATGACTCTAACGGTAATTATTTCGAAGATACACCCATTCCAAATATTCACCACAGCAACAGGACCCTCAACGCTTACAAGTGGAGTCGGAACTCGACATGGCGAACAAGAAGATTAGTGCAATCACCAAACGCATCGAGATGCGTGAGTCTAACAATTTTACTTGATCCCAACATGACCCTTAAGCCTGCACAAGAGACCTCCAGAAATCGGGCCAAAGCCTCAGCTGTTGCAGGGAAGAAGGTCAGGCCGGTCAATGGATCCACCGATGAGAAAGGTACGCCGCGCAAAATGTCAAGCCTTACCGAAGACATCGCTAACTCCGCCCGCTATCTCCCAACAGGCGAAGATTTCCGCACAGCGCTCTCAAACGCCATCACTGCCCTGAAGGAGCTCAAATCTCTATCACATTCTGAAACTTCACCACCCCTACCCAGCGCGCCCTCGGCAAAACCAAATAACAGCAATTTCCAGTCGGGTGCTGCTGTCGAGCTTAATGGCCAACGTATCGACGCGATGAGCAAGCTTATCGAAATTCTCAGGAGACATGTACGCGTCAAGTATGAGCTCGATTTCAACGACGTCCTTCACGCGTGAGTCCGCTCTCTGTCCTTTTGGAAGGAACCATTCAAACCAGTGTCGCAGTGTCCTGCCGTGCTTTGGCGACAAATGTTCAAAACAATGTCGCGCGGCTGCGTACAGACTCATTCGACACGCTCTTGTTGACTCTGATACGGTTGGTCGGCTTGGTGAGGCGCTCGACTGGTACATTGTCAAGTACGTGCCACCGGTTTTGTGCATGATTACTTTCTAATTCTGCCTCTCCTATAGGTCATTCCTCCGCGACAACAAGCATGCAGTTGAGAAAGAGCAGGCTATCAAGCTCATTCGGATGATGGTTGAAATTAGCACGTCTGGACGAGATGCAGAGGCTAAGACGGCACCTGGTTCGATACCCATATCGGAGACCGTCATGCGAGCAGTTATTGCAGTTGCTGAGCATGCCGAGGACCCATTCAGGCTGATATGTATACAGACGCTGGCCGAGATCCGTGCGTATCCTTGTCACTCTGATGTTCGAGTTGTTTATTGTATGCATAGTGATAATTGACATCGACCTCGCCGCTCGGACGGGCACGATTCGCTTCCTGCTCCATGTTCTAGGGGAAGGGCCTGTAGAGATAACTCCTATTCTTGCCTCAGTTTTCCTACACATAGTGGATTCACCTCGAACACGGGCTTATATTCAAGTTGGTACGGATTTGGAGGTATGCATATCCGTCCAACCATGTTTATCTTTGCATCGCTAAAGCACCTTGCCCAGTTGGCCATCTCTGCTATCACAGACGCGTATGGCAAGCCACCGGACCACGCTGACCGAATGAGGAGTTGTGCGAGGGTCGTGCAGTTGATGCTGCGAACCTGGAGTGGTATGCCATTGCTCTCCTGGTGATTTTTCAACTCCTCACGATGACCTAGGTTTGATGTTTTTCTGCATGGACGACATGCGGGCAATCCGGTCTCTGATCAACACGCTTCGAATACCTTCGCTTGACACCAGGGTTTGTGTTGCTTTGAAATATCTGGTGTGCCGAATGGCTTATTCCGGCTTCAGGAAATCGTTCTGGATATGTTCTTCGATTTACTGAATATCAAGACTCCCGCTTGGTACCAGACATTTATCGACGGCCGAAGACTAACGAGTAAGAACCCCGTGCCGAAGCTTCGCATTGCATTTATGCTGACCACAGCAATCCAGTGTATCGGAAGTCTCGAGATGCACCTGAACACCATCGTGATCGCCAGGACCCTGTTGAAAAGCCAGTGCGAACCCTCAAACTTACAGATCAATATCTCGCTCTTCTTGTCGCTATTCTAACTAACGCCGGTCTATGCGAGGTTCGTTGAACGTCTTCGAGCAGGGAAACTCCATTAAACGAGCAACCAACAGGCATTGACTGCTATGCTAGAGGAATCCACGACGGGTACGAACCTTTCACGGAAGGCGACTCTCCTTATGGCGGAAGTCCTTGCGATGGTGAATCGCGTGCTGCCTTTGACGATGGCTGCCAAAATCCAGGTAAGTGGTTTTTATCTTCCAAAGGAGATCCTTCGTGACTTGAGAGCTGTAGGCGATCCCTGAAGTTTTCAGCATGGCAACCGACTACAAGGATGGCGAGAATCGCATTGTCGGAACGTCAGCATTGTCTGCAATCGACAGTTTCAACCGAAATCGAGCAAGACTTGAGCCCAGTGGCCCTGTCAAAGGCTTCCGTCAGAGGTATGTCTGCCTCGTTTGAACCCTCCGAAGTTTTCTTAGAGTGACCGCTGTTAGAGCAAATTCTGTCGAAGACGCCGTCAGACGAGGGCAAAGACAAGTAGAACAAGTCAAATTGAAGATGAGCATGCAGATGGACGACCGTACCTTCCAAGCATCCCTCCTTGAGACTCAAGTGATGACGACGAAAGACCACACCAAATGGAACTTCGAGACCCTGCAAGAGCTGATCGAGGGACCCTTGCTGAACCCGAAACGGATGGAGGAGGCGATCAAGGTGTCAAGATTTGTCCGGCGACTGATGTCATTCTTCCATCCGTTCAACCACCGGTTCTCCGACGTGAAGAGGACGAAGGCGAACACAAGATGGGTAAGGCTAGGGTGTTCCCTGCTGACAACTCTCATGGCGAGTCCCGATGGTGTGAGGTACCTCTCAACAGAGGATATCTTCTTGGCCCAGATCGTGAAGAGTTTCGCTCAGTTAGACCCTGTGAGTTGACATGTTTCCTCTTTTCTTTTGTGCCATTTGACACCCCACGGCAGTTCAACGGTGTTCCAGACTCTGATCCCATTTTTTCGAAGAAGCGAGTGGCAGAGACGTTGACGTACGGCTATCTGGAGATGCTTGGAACGCTGAGTAAATTCAAGGATGGGATTGAGTGAGTTTTGTTGCGTGTCTTTCCCAAAAATCCATTTTGATGACGTCCCTTTAGGTTACTGGAGAAATTCAAGGTCTTCACGGCGTTCTACCACCTGAGCGAACTTCGAAGTCGAGAGGACCTAATCAAAGGGATCGTTGAGAATCTAGATTACAGCATGTAAGTCCAGATCGCCCCTTTTCATTACTCCGCTTAGTTCCCTACAGCGATGGACACCCCCGGATTGTCTTGTCGAAAGCGTTGACATCAAGCTATAAAGTCAGTCTACTGCATTTCGTTTCCCAGAGCTTGTCGACTTACCCCTCCGAATAGCACATACGTCTTTACGCAACACGGCACCTTGGTGCTTTGATACATGGCTCGCCAAACGCCAATGCGTGGACATTGCGGCTTCTCTTGACGCAGTTATATGATCCTGCTCCTGAAGTGTGCGAACTCGCGGTGGAATTCTTGGACGAGGCCTGCGACTCGAAAGAGATACTGCAACTGGTGGTTGAAATGCAGCCAACCATGGATCATCTAGGCGATATTGGGCATAGGTTGTTGTTGAAATTCATGTCAACCCCTGTGGGTTTCCGCTTTTTATATGATGCTGGGTATATAAGCCGAGAAATGGAGTCTTGGTTCAATGTAAGCTGTGTGATTAGTCTTCTTTATGTTCTCTAACACCTTCACAGGGTCGGAATATTGATTACGTTGTCGAGGTGGAAGTCTTCCTTGCCAAGGTCTTCAACTTCTCGAACGTCGTTGATGATGAAGAGGACCTGCTGTAAGTTTCTCTACTCTGCGTCTTCGAACCTCGTTAAAGAACGGCTCAGCGACTTTGACGGCACTGTTCCTGCTCACTTCTACGGTGAAATGGCGAAGACTGAGCTCGGCTGCCAAGTTTTGCAGGAGACTGGTCACTTTAGCGAGTTTGCCCAATTCATCCGCCAGCATTGTCATGAAAGCGAGGATACGGACCTTATTCTGAAGCTCAAGAGTATTCTTTGGGCTGTTGGGAATATTGGAGCCACTGAAGGTGGTCTTCACTTTTGCGAGGAGGAGGAAATCATACCTGCCATCCTGGAAATCGCAGAGGGCTCTCCAATCCCGTCAGTTAGAGGGTAAGCGCATCTTTGACCACCAAAGATCACCTTCTGATTTTCCAATCCTTTCGCAGAACGTGTTTCTTCGTTCTTGGTCTTATTTCCTCCACTTCACAAGGAGCAGAGATCCTCGATGACTACAACTGGGAGGCTACACTATCGCCTCTTGCACTGCCCACAGGACTCTGCATTCCTGCAGACATCGAGAAATTTATCTCTGTAAGTTCGTTGCCTCATGCGGTACATCAGTCATTTACTCATCATGTTCAGCTTCCTTACTGGACGGCCACGGATCCGACCAAGAACGAACCTCCAAATCGACTGCTGCCTCCAACTGCTGAACATGAGATCGAGGCAATCACTGCCATTCAGAACCTTGCAAACACTGTCATTGCAAATGCTGCATCGCGCTCACTAGCTAGGTAAGAAAATCCGTTGTAGATTTATCCTCCTTGCTAATGCGCCCCCAGAATCAAGGCTCGACCAGACACACGAACCATATTCTCCTCTCCTGAAATGTTCTACCGCGCGCTGCATATAATGTCTACCCAACGATATCGTCTACCAGTCCGACGATATATTGTTGAATTGTTCAATCAAGAGATGAACGCCGAGTTGGTAGTTGCTTTGAACGAAGCCGCTTCGCGGGTCAAAGCATCACCATCGTACAAGCCGCCGCGAACCGACACTATTCGAATGAGCGTCTTTGGTCGATTGGGCAAGTCAAGAAGGCCATCCGAAAGTGATGAATCGGATGCTGAAGATGGCCTGGATACACCATCCGCTCAGGACAAACAGCCAGCAGAGAAGCCTGCGATAAATCTTCAACCCCTGAAGAAGATCGTTGGTTTTACTCCATAATGTTTATTCGCTTTCATTGGACTTCAGCATTGTTTCACAGCACACTTTCATGGACTCTGGGTTCTTCAGCACTGCCTATTTATCTATTTGCATATCATGCTTTCGTGTAGCTCTGTAAACTAGCTCTGTACTATGATGCCCGAGGAACAAGGTTTGGTGCTGACGTGAGATGCTTCTTCGGCTAAGGCCGATTGCATCACGGGAACCTCCATAAACTGTGAAAATAAGGTTTAAGCCACATCCATCAGCTGCATTGTCTTCACAATCTGCTGGAAAGTGGGCTCGACAACTTCAAGACTTCAAGATGGGTAAGTCTTGATCGTGCTTGCTAGGGGGTACGATGAGCTAACCATCGTGTGTGCAGTTCGCTACGCTGCCGCCGCCCTCGCCACTAACCCCGAAAAAAGTGAGAGAATTTACCTTGGAGACTCGGCTTCACCATTGACTTCCTTGACAGCCTCCCGCGCTCGCGGCGAATACCTTCGAACCCACTTCAAGAATATGCGTGAAGTTGCGGCTGCCCTCTCGGGTACGTGTTAAAACGGATATAGAACGCATGAGCTGAAGACATGGATATGCAGGGCTGAAGCTCACGAAAGCTTACGCATACCTCGGCGATGTCAAGGACCACAAGCGGGTCATTCCCTTCCGGCGATTCTCTGGTGGTGTTGGACGGGCAAGCCAGGCTAAGGAGTTCAAGGCCACGCAAGGTATATGATTATAATCCTGTTATCGGCCTCAAATGTCCATCGGTTGTGCTTTTCACTAGGTCGTTGGCCCGAGAAGTCCATCAAGTTCATCACCCGCCTGCTGAAGAACGCTGAATCCAACGCCGACGCCAAAAACATTGACCTCGAGGATCTATATATCAAAAATATCGTTGTTGAGCAGGCTCCCGTACGTCGTCGGGTCGGTGCGAATGAACAAGATCCTGACTAACTGTCGTGTTAGAAAACCCGTCGCCGCACGTACCGCGCTCACGGTCGCATCAACCCCTACCAGGGCCATCCCTGCCATGTGGAGATTATCCTGAGTGCCAGCGACACCGAGGTCGAGAAGGCCACAGAGGCACCCTCGCATGCACTTTCACTTACGGGCCTTAACCGACGACAGGTAGCGAGAAGGCGGATTGAGGCTGCCCGTGCTTGATTTGTTATGCGTGAAGATGAGTTATAATGTCGCGAGCTGAACATCGGGGCACATATGCGCCACTTTTCTGTCTTCGACCAGACCACTATGCCTATGCAACGCATGCCACGAAAAGATTTCTTTGGTCCACAAGACCTGGTCAGATAAGCGTGATATATTCAGCAAGACATGTACATGATTTGAGATATGAGTCCTGGGGGTTTTCCATTATATGAGCAAAGAGGGTGTTAGGTACTTGCGTTGCATTTACGCAACGAGAAAAGGAGATGAAGGAGCGACGTTTATACAAGTAGGAAGAAAATAAGGGCAAGGAGCGAAGAAGTACAGTGGCCAGCAAGACATGAAAGCGCTCAGCGACGAGAAAGGTAATAAATACAGTGTGGCGCATGGAAGATGCCAAGACACCTGAACGTGTGACTAGGAGACTGCTCCCGATGACGGCGAAGGGTTACTGCGCTTCTCCAACATTGACAGAATGATTTCTTTGGTTTTTCGTACATCCTGCATGGTGATTCCAATGATGGCATGTCTGAGCTTTTCTGAGCAACTCTTCATGGAGCCGTTGGGGGGTGTCATAGTCTGACTCATAGATCTCCGAGGATCTGCGTGCTCAGTTTGCATCCTGAGGTCCCTTGGCTCGCGTAATTGGCTATCAATGGTGTCAGCTTGAATGGTCTGAATGAATAGGAAAGCCATACCTTTCTGCATAGACAGCAGCATAGAATCTCTCTTGCCCTTTACAATCACAAGCAAAGAGGTTGAGACTCTTCTCCAGCCACCATTGGAAGCAATTGTTTGCGTGAAAAGGATACTGTAGTAGGGCCTGATTCAGTGCTGGAGAGGGGGTTATTGTTGTCTGTGAAGGGGTGTGGACCGAACCAGCTTACCCTTCGTAGTCGTCGCAATGATTCTGTAGCGAGCCAGCATTCTTTCTCGGTCTATCTTCGAACCTTCCTTTGTTTTGATAATGTTGCCCGTGAAGTAGGCTGAAGCATGGAATTATGAGCACATATCAATGACAGAAAGAAATGATATACCTGGGATTGGTAGGGTAGCTTGAACAGTGTCCCCCTTCAAAATTGCACTCTGTGTAGCGCTAATCCGGGAAGGGTGGAAGAACTCGTCCAGTTGTTGGAGTAGAAGGTTTGCGGAACGAGGAAGCTGCTGATATCGATGTCAGCACTTTGCATATTTGTCTGAAAAGTCTGCTCACAGAAATATGCTGCTCCAGGCGTGTTATTGAGCTATTTATGAACCCCGAATAAATGGCGTTGGCGGCCGCGAAATTACGGTGCACCCTGCATGCCTAATACCATTGTACATATTAGTTGACGCTTGGAGTTGGTCGTTCATCCACGCACCTCGCAAATGTCGAGCCAGAATGTCATTGCTCGAGAAAATTCTTTCGGGCTCTTGGCATCGTGGATGGAACGAACAACGAATTGAGTGAGTTGATTATGGCGATCAATGATAGCCCGTAGCTCTAGTGCGGATGGGATGTCCTTGATCTCACCCCTCGTATGGTCAGTACCGTAACGCCACCAGAGATGCACGAGGTCCTCAGGGCTGACCCTTCGGAACAAGTGGGAGAACATGACGGTCAACTGCCTGGCAAATTCCTCTCGGCCATCGTTCGTGTCGAACATGAGCAGCTGTTTCAAACGATTCCTAGAGTAGGTCTCCGGAAACCGAAACCTCGTCATGGGTGGCTTCTGGGAAGGCTGATGGGTCTTCTGGTATTCGACGATTTTGTCAAGTCGTGCCTCCAACGCAGTGTCGTGGGTCATGTTATAAAGAACCTTCACCCTCTCTCGAAGAAGGGCGATCATATTCAACGGAGCGACTGGAGATTTTCGAGTTTTCTCCAGGAATGCCAAAATATCATCCAGGACAGGCCTGTCGAAGTAGGGCTGCCAATACTGGCACAGCCAGGTAGACAACAGAGCGAGGACGCGAGCACAGTCGGGCTCCATCTGTCGTGCGTAACGCCTCGAGGGAACACGCCTCGCGCTCTCTTCGTACCTCTCGACAAGTTCGTTGAAGAAGGCTTCCGAAGAGCTGAAGAATCGGAAGGAGGTCAGCACGACGGTAGCCAAATCGCGGTCCTCCGATCCCTTCTTAGACGTCAGAACGAGGATGAGGGTTTTCAGAGGGGCGCTTCTGATGCGGTTCTCCTTGTCGAACACTAGCCCAGCCTGAGCGTCCTTCTTTGGATCGTACGTCGGTATGACCGCGTCAGGTCTGAAGTAAAGCGTACTTGCACGCTTGTAGTAAATGTTTTCTGTGACGATCTCATCTTCGGTTGAGTCATCCACGTCGGCGAAAGGGTCAACTGACAGTTGTGCATCAGGTGGGAGAGCAGGAAGGGGTTTGTTGATCTTGACGTAGCGCTTGTGGAGGAAGAACAAGGGCAGAAAGGACCTGTACAGCGCACGCGCCTGGCTGCCAATCTCCTCAGCCAGCCCGTCTCGATAAAGCCCGTATTCTAGAATCTGCTTGAACAGACCAACGAGAATGCCCAAAGCCGATTTAGCGATAGAATATCTCCCTGTGTCCACAACACCAGCCTCAGCGAGACGGCAATCCATAGAACAGACGACGGAGAGGATGGAGTGCAGATAAACCCAAGCCTCTTGGACGATTTCTTTCTGTGGTAGTCGGCGGTTTAAGTGCCGTTCGAGGGATAGAACGCACTTCGGAACGGATGAGTAGGTCAACTCGAACTCCCAGACCTCGTTTCTTGGGAGGGGCAGGAAATCGTCTTCACCATCGCCATCGACGGCGTCCACCGAGTTCAACCTTTCTCTGCTTCCGGGTGGATACTCCTTGTTGTTGTTGGGATCATCCCATAGTCGGGAGAGTCCAAGAACGGGGGCTAGTGGCAGCTTTCTCCGGAAGGCGTCCATCAAGGGATCTCCTTGTCTAACCGAAGCTGTTGCAGCTTTCCAGTCCTGTGGATCATGAATGGACACCTGCCGCGGAAGTGTTGATGTCGAGGGCTGTTCGTTTGGTTTCTGAGCTGCTTTAGAGGCTCCGCGTATAGGCGTATGTGTGGATGAGGCAGAGGAGTGGCTATGACGAGCAGGAGATGGTTGGATGAGATGGGCAGGGGTGGAACTGCTGGAGGAAATTGGGGCCTTCAACCGGCCAATGGGCTCGGGTTTGATTCGGCGCGCTGGTGCTGGGCTCGACGGGAGTGAGTTCAGCTTAGGTGTCTTCCTAGCAGGCGTAACAGTACACTTGACTGTTATAGCCTGGGGTTTATGACCCGGGTTCGCAGTTGGGTGAGAGCTCGGTTTGCGTGAGGTAGAGGGGGCAGACATGGTCGATAATGGGGGGTTGGATAAAGGCGGTGAATTTCAACGTGTGGCCAAATTTAAAGGACCAGAGGGGCGGGCCACAGCGGCACGCCAAGGTGGCCTCTCGTTTAGTCGTCGGCTTGAGTCCGGTCACTTAAACCAACCCAGGGCTCGCGCGGCCGCGCGGGCCATTCACGAGCAATTGCCTTATTTGACAATAGCGGCGAGTACTTTCTCGCTGCGTCGTCGTTGCGCGCCGAGCAAATAGCCATATCAGTATCGATTCCAAAGGAAGTAGCCGGGGCGTCGTTCAGAAGGAAATGGATTCCTGCGACGAATCTAAGAAGCATGGAAGTTGCAATAGCATCGCAGGTCTCGGCATATCCAGGACTCGGAGTGTGGAAGGTATCTTTTCGAGTAGATGTGCGGGGTGCGCGGGGTCGCAGAGCACGAGAATATGCTAAATCGATACTTTCGATAGCCTGCCTTGAATCTTGGAGGGACAGCAAGCCCTGCAAGTGGGACAAAGGCACCGTCTTCATCGGAACGAGAGTAGCAAGGCCGACAGCTATGTTTGTAGAATTTGCGGTATGTCCTGCTGATCGTGAGGCTATTCAGGTCGCATACGGGCATCAGCGGTCGCGGTCGCGTCGTGGGGGGAATCTGGGCGGAGGAAGCGCTGAAGCTGTGCGGGACGAAGGACGAGCACGTGGATCACGGGTTCATTTGTGTCACTGTGTTGCACTGGTCACTCTGCTCGTTCCCTTGCCGTCCTCCCCCACCCCCACCACCATCCGCAGCCAACTCCCTCTGCAGCGCGCAGCCATCGTCTCCAGAATCCCTAGCCTCGATGGCGAGCTCAAGCAGGTCCCTATCCTGCCTTTCTTCCGTCTTCTAAGCCCTCCGCTGACAGTCGCTATCACCCAGATTGAATGATCCTGAGCGCTATATCAAAGTAACCTGTGGGTGCTACCGCTGCTGGTTTCCACCAATTCTACCGGTCTGACTCTTCATGAATACAAGTGCATGGCGCCAGCGGTCTCGTCAAGAGAGAATTGCTCAGTCTTCCGGACCCATTCGCAGTACTCACAGTTGATGGTGAGCAGACGAGCACAACGGCTATCTTCAGGCGGTCGTTGAGTCCAGCTTGGAATGAGACATTCGACGTGTGAGTGCCCTCTCCACTTTATCCGTTCTCCAGACCTTTGAGCCTGCAAATTTTCTAGGAAAGTAAGACAATCGTCCATGATCGCTATCCAAATCTTCGACCACAAGAAATTCAAGAAGAGGGATCAGGGTGCGTCTGCCTATTCTTTGCAACCAGAGACCGTTGTGTTCTGATTCTTTTGCCTTTCGAAGGCTTCCTCGGGGTATACAACATCTCTGCTGCGGATGCCATCCAGTTGGCTGCTAATCAACAAGGTGATTACACAACGAACATTGGTGGGCCGTGACTCATGGCAAGTCGCTCCAGGCGTTATTACCAAGGATCTGACGATGTCCAGCAACAACCTCCCCGTCTACGGCAAAATATCCTTCAGCTTTTCCCTTCCCTCACAAGCTCAACAGCAGTCCGTTCCGAATAACGTCGTTGACCGTCCTATCATGCAGTCGGCTGCCCAGGACTTTCATAACCCACAGTCCGCTCAAAGTTCTCTGGGCGGCGCAAGGCTATCCAATCCTCTCCCACAAACGCGCCTCGATGATGACCATCCAAGACTTCAGAACACCCTCTCTACACCATCCCTTCGTCCATCCAATAGCCATCTTGCCCTCAACACCTCCTTCAATGCCCAACCAAGAACCGAGAGTATAAGTGCTCGCCCAACCTCGTCTTCTGGTCCCGTAGCTGGCCGCATGTTGGATGACGAGTTCGGCAATCCTTTACCCCAAGGCTGGGAACGGCGGATAGATCCCCAAGGACGACACTACTATGTAGACCACAACACGAGGCAGACGACATGGCATCGACCAAACCAAGCCCAGTCGGTCCAGAACCGACCTACTTCACAACTATCCGGTCAGCAGGGACCATCTAGAAGTCCAAACTCCAATCCCGCTTCAGCTGTTTCTGTAACGTCACCAGCATCTACTGGTGCCCCACAGACTGGGACGTATGCTGACATTCCGTTGCCGTTGGGTTGGGAAGAGCGACGGACTGCTGAAGGGCGGCCATATTTCGTCGACCACCATACCCGGACGACGACATGGACAGACCCTCGACGAGCCACACAGCCGCCCCCTTCAGCCGTCATGAGGCCAGTCACCAATCCCAATCTCGGTCCTCTGCCATCCGGATGGGAGATGCGTCTGACATCAACCGGGCGTGTCTACTTCGTCGACCACAATACCCGAACGACATCCTGGGACGATCCAAGACTTCCTCCGAATCTGGACGATAACGCCCCACAGTACAAGCGTGACTACAGAAGAAAGGTGGTCTATTTCAGGAGTCAACCGAAGATGCGGGTTCTTCCCGGCAAGTGTGAAATCAAAGTAAGACGTACGCGGGTCCTTGAGGACAGTTATGGCGCCGTGATGGCTCTGCCAGGTGAAGACCTCAAGCGGAGGTTGATGGTCAACTTCGAAGGTGAAGACGGGTTGGATTATGGTGGTGTTTCAAGGTGAGTGTGTCTCATGTCTGGGGTTGTAATTTTGATCAAACATTTTCTTTAGAGAATGGTTCTTCCTCTTGTCACACGAGATCTTCAATCCAAGTTATGGTCTATTCGAATATTCGACGCACGACAACTATACCCTGCAAATCAATCCCGCCTCAGGCATCAATCCCGACCATTTGAGCTACTTCAAGTTCATCGGACGATGTCTCGGCCTTGCCATCTTCCACCGTCGATTCTTGGATGCGTACTTCGTTCCAAGTTTCTATAAGATGATCCTTGGCAAGCACATGTCGTTAGTGGATTTAGAAGCTGTTGATGCTGATCTTCATCGATCTCTGGTGTGGATGTTGTGGGTCTTCATGTGCTCTCGAGTCTCCGGCTTCTTTGATGAACTTATATTTGAACAGGGAGAATGACATCACGGACGTACTAGACGAGACCTTCACGACGACAGAGGAGCGGTTTGGCGAGCTTGTGACGATTGAGCTGAAACCCGGAGGCGAAGACATTCCCCTGACGGAGCAGAACAAGAAGGAATACGTTGACGCTGTGGTCGCTTACCGCATCTCGAAGCGTGTGAAGGAGCAGTTTGACGCGTTCATGGAGGGTTTGCTGGAGCTCATACCGAGAGAGCTAATCAACGTCTTCGATGAACGGGAGCTGGAGCTGCTCATTGGTGGCATGTCGGAAATTGACATGTACGTTGCTCTCTTCTTTTCATTTTCCAAACTCAAACTTTCTTGATGCAGGGACGACTGGACCAAATTTACTGACTATCGTGGGTACGAGAAGACCGATCAAGTCATTGAGTGGTTCTGGCAATGCATTCGATCATGGCCAGCAGAAAAGAAATCTCGGCTGCTGCAATTCACGACGGGCACATCGCGTGTGCCGGTCAACGGCTTCAAGGACTTGCAAGGGTCCGACGGGCCACGGCGGTTTACCATCGAGAAGTCAGGGGATCCTGCTGGTCTGCCTCGCAGTCATACATGCTTCAATAGGCTGGACCTGCCACCGTACCAAGATTATGAAAGCCTGGAATCAAAACTGTCGTTTGCTATTGAGTATGTCCAATTCCTCGTCTTTTTATTGCTGGCGTTGACCAGCTGCCTTTGCAGAGAGACAGAAGGATTTGGACAAGAGTAATCTCGTCTTTGTGCTCCTTGCAACTTTTTACTCGGTTCTGTATAACATGGGGGTGTCTTATGTTTCTAACCAGCCATTCACTTATTCTATTCACACTTTCCTTCTCCCTCCATGTTACAATGTTCAAGGTATCTATACGACGATACTATCCTTGGTCTACGCTCGATAATCTGAAGCACATCTCTATATCCTAGGCCCTTTCACCTTCATCGTTTTTACATACTCCCGTTGTGGATGTAGCTATCACTTGTTTTTATGCATTTCTGTTCGGTATTCATGGATCCATACACCCGCGATTTGTAGCCTTAGTACGAATCTGTCAAAGTTTTCGATAAACTCCTCATCATCGCGTGCCGGACGCTGCGGCGTCCTCATTATATTATTCCTGCCTTTCTTCAAGTAGGATAATCATTCGTCCCTCAAGGGCTCGAAGAGGGGCCGCCAAGCAAATTGATTACCAGAAAATCATTACAGCCAAGAAACCGGTATGTAGTCTACAGTCGAGTCCGAAAAAGTCCTAACACTATGCGTGTCCGAAGAGTCGAAAGAGGGTGTCACTGCGCTGCCAACTACACAAGAAAAACATGTCCAAGTCAAACTACGCTCGTATCATCATCTACATAGCCGACTTGGTGGCATTGTACGCAGCGTTGACAGACGCAGGCGACGTCTGGTTGTTCCAGTTGCTGCCGGCGGGGACGACATAATTGTTTCCATTGTCCTTGCCGCTAAACCCGAGGTCGGTGGTGTTCAGCGAGCCGTCCGAGTTCATGATGCTGCCGTACTGGCTGGCAATGCTCTTGTCGTAGCCGGCGCTCTTCGAGGACTTGTGGCGGATGTCGCCACTGAAGTGACCCATGCTCTCGTGGAACTGCTGAAAAACGATCGTCTGGGTCTCGGCTTCGCAGATGGTCTCAGTGATGATCCTACAAGTTCATTTGTTCAATTAAAAGGCAAGAGGGAGGAGCCTAGGGAGGGGACGAACTTCTTCGCCATCTCCTGCAGGATGAGCAAACGCTGTTGGATGATCTCGATCTGTTGAGTGTGGCACACGAGCTGTGAGTCCTGCTCGATGACCGTCACGCTCGAGACCTTGCCGGAGTAGTTGTCCGATCCGTAGAAGTCATCGAAACCAGCGAGGGAAGAGATGCCATTCCAGTTGTCGAAACTCATAGGGGATTTGCTCTTCTCGGTTCGAGTGGCGAAGGAGCCTAATGAACTCTGTTTAATCAAACGGAAGATCTACATGTAAAAGGACTTACTGAGGTTATGAGGAAGGGCGGAAGAGCTAACGACCATAGCAGCAACAGCAGCGAGCTTGAAAACCTTTCCGAACATCCTCAAGAATCAATTTCAAATTGACGAAGAAAAAAACTGTTGCCAGTAGATAGTGAGCACATTGACGAAAGGAGACCAAAGCACCATACCTGGTAGTTGGTAAGAAGAGTGAGTGTAAAGGAAGGATTTTTCTGGCACAGAAGGCGAAAAATAATAGTTAAAAGGAAACAGGCAACCTGGCCAGGAGGTTCTGAAGGAAAAAAAAGGAGGAAAGAACGAACGGTGAGAACTAGTGCCTGCATGTCCTCTTTATAGGAGTCAGGAGCCTCCCGACAGAGGACCAGAAAGTAGTCTATTGGTTCCACCGAAGTAGGGGTAAGCCGCTCAGGATGAGATGGAAACAGAGACTCGCAGGTGACATACGCTATGATTGTTGGGTAGAGGTGGTTATTTTTAGAACACGCGCTAAAAATAGACTCGCTTTCAGCGTGCGTTCCCAGCCCCTCTTATAGAAACCAGGGAAGTCATGGCCAGATAAAACAGTAAAGACGCCGTCAGAGCGATGGTATCCATGTAGTGCGTTCGCCGTGGAATTCCTTGCAAGGATAAGAATCTGAAAGGAGTCACTGAGCCAAAAATAAGCTGTCGAATAAAAATCAAACCGTATCGTCTGCCATAGGAAAAGATGAATGAACTACCGCATAACACAGGTTTCGGCTTCATTTTTTGGGACAACGACACGAGAATACTGAAGTTGCGTACACCTGATCGCGACCCACGATTAGGCCAATGAAAGGCTGGAAGTCACAATGAAGGCCAAGAGGGATTCAGAAGTTTGAGAGTGCTTTTAGAATCTAATCGGAAAATACCACTGACAAGAATGCAGCCTTGTGATGGGATACATCACAGCGCAGGTGGTATACGAAGGCTTCGGGGAGGCCTCTTCACTAAGAATCTGGACCTGAAAGCAACAGCAATGCAGGCAAAGATGGCCGGAACGGAACGGAAACTTGAAAAGGAGATGATAGCGTGTCCTCGGAAAAAATGGCGAGGGTTACCATATTCTAGCCCAAAAGAGATGTCGTACTTATAAATGATGAAGAGCATAGAAACGACCAGAAATAACTTCGTATACCAGCTCACAGCAGTACCAGAATATGTCCGAAGACTCTGCAAACCCTGTGTCGATTGGTTGGGATTTGTATTCCAACAGCCTCGTTCCGATTGAGGCACTTTGGAAGCCTCAGAGCGTCGTGATGTCGAGAATGTCGAATCTATTGACGTGGATTTCCTTGCCAGCCTCGTGAAGAGGTGTCGAGTTTCAAGTTTCACTGGCAATGATTGAGCGACGCTGCGACGCCAATTCATGGACCGAAGGAAGAGTCAAATAACCCGTGGTAGCCTTTTGCGACGATTCCGTCTGATTTACAGAGGAATTGTGATGGGCTTGTCGGAGACCCAGAGCCATTGCAGTGCAGAGGTGAGATCGGAGAGGGGAGAGGTAGGAAGAGGCGAAGCGCCCAATCATGGCTGCCGCGGTCGAAGTGCTATTTGCCTCATCTGGGAATGCCAAACAGCACGCATTGAGCTCGCTGTCCAGGGTCTTGGCATCCCCACTTCGCCCCTCATCGTCCCCTTCGCTGACCGGACCCTCCTCAACATGACAGCCTCAATACCCGGCGACCGCGCCGACGAACATGCTTTCCTTGATTCTGTCGAGGGGGAAATCTCATTCTTCCGCTCTATCATGCGGGCCCGACCAGTGGGCATGCACCGCTACTTCCATATTCTTACGATCCGGAACGCTATCTTGAAAGACACAGGGCACACTGTGCATGTTGAGACGCTGTGGGAGAAGCTGAGGAAATGCTATGACCTTGACGCGTTGGACGCCATTGTGAGTGATTCTTTATGCAAAGCGGGATACCTTTGCTGTGTTTTCGAGCGCGCGCGAGGGTAGAAAACTGACGCCCCAATCCCAATAGGACGTTGAAGCAGAGGGATACCTCTCATCCAAGTCCGGCACAACGCCCATATCCATCCGCTCGCCTTCACCCTCCGAGAACCTCGCCCTCCACCCTTTCTTCCGCGAAGAGTTCTCACTACCCTATGAGGACTTCGAGTCCATCATCGCCCAACGGCGGCTACGATCCACAGCCTCCCTTCCATCCTCCCCGGCCCCCGCTTCTTCCCCTGCGCCTCCACCATTCGCAAGCACATCCAGCGGGCCGCCACTCTCCTCAGGCAAACGCAGTGCCGCGGGCTCGGTGGGTGACGGCCCGCGCAAGCGCCCGAAGAACGCGAAGAGCAAGCTGAATCTGGCGGGGTTAGTAGGCGGCGACAGTGACAGCAGCGCGTTGACGCAGGAGAGCGGGGACGAGGGCGGTGTGCCGGAGACGCCGAGGGACAGTGTGATCACGGGAACGGATGCCGGGACGGACTATGCCGAGGATGATGATACAGAAATGCGGGACCCGTCCCCACCAGCGGCGGACTCGCCACGGCCAACGAGAGGGCGCGGAGGGAGGAGAGGACGCGGGGGAGGGAGAGGGGGGACCAGGGGCACTTCGAGGAAGAAAAAGAAGTAGTCTTGTATCCGTACCTTGGCCTATTCATCTTTTCTTTGAGGCAAGACTTGTATTTCTGAGATGCGAACTGTTGTATGTATTCATCTCCTGGTCACTTAACGGTGTCTTCTCGAACTCGAATTTCTAATGTGCATATTACAGGGTATTCTAGCGGGATGAAAGCAGCTGTCTGAATAGTAGTACAATGTTCAGTCGCCAGTGACTGAAGATGAAGGGAGTGCAGTGTTATGATTAGTAGTTGGCATTATGATTATGCCGAAGCGTTGTCCGTCTTGTATGGTAGAGTTCAATAGGGTGCAGGTTTCTGAGAGGGTCGAACTATCGCTGGTTTTTGCTTTCCTCCTAGGAAAGATCGGATATCTTTCTGAGCGGGGTCGTGGGCCAAGCTTCCTATACCTCCCTTCTGCCGATGCTGTTAAATCCCAGGTTAGAAAGGTGTAGTGTAAAGAAGTGAGACGGCCACTCACAAGGTTGGAAAGATGTGCATAGCGGTTAACATCCGTTACACGCACGTTGAAGGCTAGTTTCGTGCTAGGACTGACCACTGTTCCGTTGGGAGCGGGAAACTAGAGAGAAGAAAGCTCAGTCAATCTCGAGGTCAAAATGAAATCCGGTCAAGTTCGACCAGATTTAGTGGCTGGAAGCATACCTTCAACGCGACTGCAAGCCTCGTCCACCCAGTGTTCTTCATGCCCCGAAGATTCCGAACGTCGACTTCTCCTCGATAGTCCCGGTCCCTTCTAATGATCGCCGCGACCAGCTCACCAATGAAGAGCCCATGGCTAACAATAGCGATAGACTTCATAACACCATCTTTGCTCTCCTGCACTACATGAGGAAGGAGTATCTCTTCGATGACCATCTCAGCACGCCTCGCCATGTCGTGGAGGCTCTCCCCACCAGGGAACTTCTCTTGCCTCGTGTGCAAAGCTGGGAACAGGCCTTTGGCGTAGTGCGCAGCGAGGGACATGCCCTTTTCCTTCTTGGAAAACTTCATGCCCTCGCCAGCACCGAAGTTCTGTTCGCGGAGATGAGAGGTTTCTATGAACGGGATTGACAGAGGGTTCGTTTGCTTGTCCCTCAGCGCCTTCGCGGTCGTTTTGGCACGTTGGAGGTCGGAGGTGTATACGATTACGATGTTCGTAGAAGCCAGATAGTCTCCTAGAACTTCTGCTTGCTGTGAGCATAGCCTGAGATCAACTTCGTTCGTTAAGGCTGAATATATGCGCCTTACTTGCATGCCTGTCGAAGTTGATGGGCATGATGAGCTTCAAAGTTCACTGCTCGTTGAGAATAAAAATATACATACCATGGTTAGACAGTGGGGAATCCTTCACGCCTGCCCATACGCTTCTCTATCAGGGAATGCACGAGAATACTAGTCAGAAGCAGCTTTTGGCTTCATATTCAACCAACCAAATTGTCTTTTGATTCTCCGTGTCTGACCTATCCTTGTAGGGTTGGTAATCTGTCTCGGAGACCTTTTCTTGTACTCACAAAGATGAAGTTAACCATGAAGCAGTGAAGCAGTGAGGGCCACGACGCCCCCAACAATATGGAAGAATGGAGAAGGAGAAGGAAAGCTGCCAAGCTGTGCCTAGGACCAGCGATCGCCGAGCCGGGTACAGACGCGTCTGACACGTGATGCGCATTTTCCCAGATTAGCTCTAACAGCTGACTAAGTACAACTTTACAGCTTGTGCACAGGCGACCACTGCTTGGCCTGGCGCTGTACGCGTCAGCTCTTGCTTTTACTATAAATCACCCTCCTTTGCTGTCTTGTCTCCATACCCCCTCTTCCTCGATCATATCATGGCTTCCTCGTCCTCTCCCGCCCCTGAGCACGATGCCCAACTCCTCGCTATCGGGAAACAGTGCTCTCACCCCAGCTGTCTCCTCGTCGACTTCCTCCCATTCAAGTGTCAACATTGCCAGCTCTCCTTCTGTCAGGAGCACTTCAAGGTTGATGGACACCAATGCGACAAGTACGATGAGAGCAAGCACAACAGGGTAGCGCCCAACTGTATGTTGAGCCTGGTATTGACTATCAGGTGAAATATTTATTGATTCGGCGTGGTGTAGGTCCGCTGTGCAATACTCCCGTCGCCGTTCGTCAAGGCCAAGATCCCAATGTCCGCATGGACTATCATTTGGAGAAGGAGTGCTCCGTCGTCACTGGCAAAGTCAACTCCGGGTCGACACCTCGGTGCTCACGAGGAGCATGCAACAAAGTCTTGTTCTCTCCCATTCGATGTGACGTATGTGCTTCTGCTCTTGGACTTAGCTGTTCACTGAATTTCTCTTTGCGTGCAGCAATGCCGACTCCAATTCTGTGTGGCCCACCGATTCCCCGGAGACCATACTTGCAATCCTGTGTCACCGGCGAGCCTTCGCCCCAATATCCCCAACCTTGCGAACTTGAACGCCAGCGCTAAAAACATCAATGCCAAGGCGTCTGCCGCTGGCTCTGCTGCACTTGGTGCGGTGAAGAAGTCAATAGCCTCAGCTAGCAGCTCTTCGTCTAAGCCTCCAGCTGCAAAACCCCCGGTGGCCTCGTCCTCCAGTACGAAGCCGATCAAGCCGGCCTTACCCTTCAGCAAGATGGATCGGTACGTTCCTTCCTTCCCTTCCTATCCAAAGTACTCGCTCATCAAGCACTAGCCTTTCTGTTGTTTCTTTTCCTTCCACGCACACTCACGACTTTCACGACTCTTCCATGACCGATACAACCAACTTTAATGCTGCAACTAATATTGATATAATCAACTATTCACCTATAATCGACTCGGCATCCTTTGTACCACCACCGTTATTCGCTTAATATCTCCATGACATGTATCTGGACTCGCATTTCGTTGTATTACTTGCACTTCATTGTATTCCTATCGCATTTTTGTTGTATCATCTAGTCGGGCGAGGGCAGAGCGAGAAAGCAAGCTGAAAGCCATGAGAGCACGCGCTCAGAAAGGGGTGCGTTATCTTCCGCTTTGTAATGAGATAAATTTCTGATTATACATGCTTCAGTTGTTGACTGAGGACGAGAAGGCTATCCTTGCAGCGGAGGAAGCAGCTTCAAAAGACAACAAGGACTGTGTTATCATGTAAACCTGCTAGCTTACTTGCATTCTGCAGGCGGTGCTGTTGCTATCTGTATTATTTATTTTACCTGGAGGATACCATAAAATCTACTGTCGTTTGGAAACTGGTGTATTGGGATCGCGTCTTCCAAGTTCTGAAGCAAGCTCGAAGATTTGCTCAGCAATTCGTTAAGCCAGGTTCGACTTCGTGCGCCAAATGCTCAGGGATTTTAACCCAGGGGCAACCAAGTTTCAAAGATCTTTCCTTTCAACAATGGCGGAAATAGAGGCCTCAGCTCCATTCCAGTGTTTTGTGATATGGGCACTGGAGGCTCATGTCGCTCATGCATAAGCCTCATCGAACACGGATGGTTTTCAGGATTAAGCTGCAGCCAAAAGCGATGCAGACTTGACAGCTTGGTGGTCCGGGAGAGTATGGAGTATCTTAAATGTTTGTGCATTTCCAGTGGTAATAAGTGAATCTATGAGGTGAAATTAGCATAACATTACGATTACATATGGTGTTATCACTCACCAGCCACTACTCTTCTCTACCGCTTGAGTACATTATCTCTAATTCGAGCCATACGGAAGCAAGAGTTTCTTTAGTTTGTGTGTTTGGGCGGCGTTAGAGTAGGCAGTCGTACTCAGACGGTTCTTCTGAGCAGGTGCCTTCGACACGTTCAAATGGGAATGACCAGCTTTGCCCTATAAGGAGAGCAGAAGATAGGATATCTGAATCTCGAATAAGGATGGCCAAACGTACGCGTTTGAACGAACTTCCAGATGCCAATGACCGCCAGCGTTTTTTTGCGCCTGAGTGGGACTTCATCTTGTAGCCAGCCTCAGCAACTGAGCTGGTAGAGAATAGACGCGGCATATGTGCAAATGGCGGCCGTAGACATGATTGGGTTGCCCATAGCAGCTGTCGACCGACGGAGAGCATTGAGAGCCTAGAGGAAAGGAGTGTTTCTCTCTCTGACTCTGAGTCGCGCTGCAAGCCGACAGGCACGTGAGATGATCCCTGCGTCTAAATCCAGGGTCTCCGACATCTTTCCTTCTACCTTGACGCATCTTCAGCTCAGCTATTCCTCTGAGTCTGTATAAACGACCACCTCACGACTTGTGTTTGTTTCACGACCCAAAATATCATGAGCGACAATACACCGACGCCTCAAGATGACGCTGATCGCGTATGTGCTGCTCGCTAACCGGAGTACCGTGCTTCAAAGGGACTAATCGTCGTTTCCTCGTCTTATAAAACCGCGTTCTGAAAACAGATCCGTTTGAAGAGGCTGGCCAAGCTCCAGAATTTGTCTTCTCCCTTGCCCAGCGCGTCTGGAACACCTGCATCGAGCACACCTCCGCCTCCGGCTGTGGTACCACCCAAGCCAGTGCCTCGACCAGTGGTGGCGGCCCCTACACCCACACCTCCTCCACCAGCTCCTCGACCTGCCTCTGGACTGACAAAGAAGAAACCGACAGTTACGAAGTTTGAACTGCCGCCATGGGAACATGATGCGATTGGGACGATACTCAAAGTAACTCTAAGCGTACGTCATCTCCTGGCTGAACGATTTTTTGGCATAGGAAATGGAACCTCATATTTGTTCAGCAACAAGTGGCCGAAAGGAGCGGATACGAGGCGGTGTGGCTGAAGCACTTGGCCACTGAGCTCGCATCTGAGGGATCAAGTTCGTGGTCTTTATCCCAGTTCAGTGGATTGACTGGTTAAAATCTCAACTTAACAGCGGACGAAAAGCTCAACATGGACCTGCTGGATCGACTATTGATTGCCCGCCTCGAGCTCGATCCTCAAAACATGACGTGAGCCATCTCTTAATGCTGTATTCGATCCCTGGCCTCAACACTTCTGTAGCGATGAACTGGACTATCTTCCTGTCTTGGTTTCTCTTCCCCCCCAACAGACGGTCTTCGAATATTTAGTTGGCTGCTGGAAAAGGTTGAACGCTGTCCGATCAATGGTCCTCAAGAAGGTGAGAAGTGTGTAGGTCCTTGACTGTCCAAATAGATTAATCTGTCTTGTTAGGGATATACCCCAATTGATACACAGGCGGCTCTGGATCGACTAGAAAAGATTCGGCATCTTATTATCAGTTATACGGGTTACAATCTTCAAGAGCCAGAGATGTTTCCTCAACCATCAGGGTATAACGCTTCAGTTTTCGTGAAGGTATTCTTTTGACATAATCAACAGTCGCCTTCTTGGTGCTCCGGAGCTCGTGAAGCCTCTTCTCTCTCTGTCAGCCCTCTCCGCTCCGCTTCTTTCAAACGCGTCAGACAGCCCGAACACTCTTTCGTCCTCTGACATCGAACAATTCCTCCAAGACCTCGCACGCCGCTTCGAGCCTGAGAACGAGATGGATGGTATCCTCGGGCCAATTGTCACGGATCTTCTTTTCCATGAGTCTCTCTTCAGACCTGAAGGTTTAGGAGGAGGCGATGCTAGTTGGCGTGGGGTGGTCAGCGGTCTTGAAGCTCTTGTTTCAGTCAAGAGCATAGCGACGATGATCACTCGCCTCGACTCATGGAATCCCCCCGAAGCAACAACTGCAACATTTGAACGCATTTCTTTACTGGGCCCTCTTTGTCGCCTCGGTGTATTCCCTACAGAATGGGTGAGTCTCTCGATCATTCGTGATCTAGTTATGCTTCATATGTTCTCCAGCCAGGCATTGCACAAACATACTTCTCGGAGCCAGACAAGAGGACAAGAGATGACGTTGAATCGTCGAATGCCAGTTTGAGAGGAACGCTCAAAAGTCTACAGGTGCTTCCCTCGTTCATCCTATGCGTTTCGTTTTTCTTACAGTTCTCAAACTCAGACGTCACTGTTCCAAACCTTCAACACTCTTGTTCGAGCGTCTGCAGAATCACGAGAAGCCGTGCTGGACTATTTCTCCAGGGTTATCTCCCTCAACGTTAAGCGCGCCGGCATGCAGGTCGATCCAACAACTGTAGCCTCCGACAGCTTCATGTTAAACTTGCAGAGCGTTCTGCTGCGGTTTGCAGAACCATTTATCGACGCCAATTATACAAAGGTTGGCCCGTGCTGCTTCTGATTTTCGTATGGTTTGACCAATTGACGAGGGTTCAGATGGACCGCATAGATCCACTGTTTTACGCCCAATCAAATCGGATCGACCTAAAAGATGAGACTCGCATCAAGGCAACGAGCGAGGAAGCGCAAGAATGGGAGGAAGAGAACAAGAAGCCAAACGGTGCGCTTTTCTCTTGGAAAAAACTCTCTTGTTGGTCTTGACCCGAGAACGTCTAGCTCCTCCACCCAACTTCATCTCGAACATTTTCTACCTAACAATTGCCATGAGTCATTATGGAATTCTAAAGACCATCGATTCATACAACAACTTGGGCAAGCATGTCGAGGACCTCCAGAGGCATATGGATATGCTGAACGGGGATGGGAGTTGGATGGGAGTATGTGCTTGACTTGTCTCTGGAAGTTGTCGTTTCTCATTACTTCCCAGAGCCCCATGCAAGGTCGCGTTCAAGCTGCGATTGATCACGTCAAAAAGGAGCTTGGGAAGATTCAGTCACACCGTTTTGCATACGAAGCTGGCCTCATGGAGCCGGAGCTTACCTTCCGGTCTATTGGCTTCACAAACTTCCTTTCGACGTGGCTTATTCGACAGGTCGACCCCAAGAAAATGCATCCTAACCCCCCTGTGCAGTAAGTCGAGACGAAACTCCGGGATTCCGGTGACTCACGAATTATTAACCTTAGGTTGCCCTTACCAAAGGACGTACCCATGGCATTCAGAGTGCTTCCAGAATACATTGTCGAAGATATCGTTGATTATTTGTATTTCTCTGTGCAGTAAGTGATTTTCCTCTTATCTCACAGCCTCCGCCTTCAACTGGCTACTCAGAACGTCTCCTGAGAAATTCGAGCTGGCCGGCAAGGTCGAATTGATGACCTTCATCTTGACATTCTTGACTTCGACATGGTATATCAAGAACCCATTCCTGAAATCCAAGATCAACGATGTATATACTTTCATCTAATGGGTGTTTGCTCTTTTTTTGACGTTTGGTGTACAAGGTGCTTTTCATGAGCATCTGGGGCTACGGACGCGAGAGGAACGGAATTTTGGGCAATATGCTAAACACTCATACGATGGCTTTGAAGCATCTCATGCCTGCGCTGATGCACTTCTACATCGGTCAGTAGCAATCAATGCTTGTACGAATATGGCTGACTGCCTTATTGCATGCACGTCGTAGAGGTCGAGCAAACCGGTGCTAGTTCACAATTCTATGATAAATTCAGTACGATACCCCACTATCTCACTTATTATTACTTCTGACTGCCTGTCCTCTAGATGCAAGGCGGAATATAGCCTATATCCTGAAGACTGTCTGGAATAATCCAGCACATCGTGAAGCTCTCGACCTCGAAGCGAAGTACGTTCTCTCCGACCATCATCTTCTTAGGTACTGATTTCCTACAGGAACGTCGATAAATTCGTCCGCTTTGTCAATTTGATGATCAACGACGTAACATATCTCTTGGACGAGTCGCTGAGCGAATTGACTCAAATCCACAATATCCAAGTAGAGATGGAAGACAAGGCTACCTGGGAGGCGCAAACAGTGGAGCACCGGCGAGAACGAGAAGGCACTCTTCGATCCCTGGAACGACATGCATCGAGTTACACTACACTCGGTCGTTCGACAGTAGAGTTGCTGAAGGTGTTCACGGCGGAGACCAAGGCACCCTTTATGATGCCCGAGATCGTCGATAGGCTGGCTGCTATGCTGGACTACAATCTCCAGGCGCTTGTGGGACCGAAGTGCCAAGAATTGAAAGTTCGAGACCCCGAGAAGTACAAGTTCAACCCGAGAATACTCCTCGCGGACATTATCCAGGTCTTCCTGAACCTGAGTGACCAACCAACGTTCATTCAGTCTGTTGCGGGCGACGGACGCAGTTATTCCAAGGAGCTCTTTGACAGAGCAGCGGACATTGCTATACGGCGGACGATCAAGAGCGAGACGGAGATTGCGGTATGGAGGGCGTTTGTGGAGAAAGTAGAGGAGGCGAAGGCCTCCTTGGAGGCAGAGGAGGATCTAGGAGAGGTGCCTGATGAATTCCTTGGTCCGTTCTCATCCTCTTTTATGATTGAATCTCCTCATGGCCGCCTCTTTCGCAGATCCCCTGATGTTTACCGTCATGAAGGACCCCGTTCGTCTGCCCAGTTCAAAGACCATTATAGATCGGGCTACCATCAAGTCGCACTTATTGTCCGATTCGAAAGATCCTTTTAATCGTGTTCCATTGACGATTGAGGAAGTCATTCCAGGTTTGCCAACTTTCGCTCGACTGTTCTATGATTTGTTGGTTGATCCCACATCAACAGTGCCAGAATTGAAGACACGAATTGAAGAGTTCTTGATTGAGAGGCGGAACAAAGGAAAGATCCTAGAGACACCACCAGATCCCACGAGCGGCGCGATGGACACGTCCGACTAACCACTCGGGATGCATCATCACATAGGAGGCACATTTGAACGCTAACTGTATTATAGAAATTTTGCTTGTACAACATAGACCTTTGTCATATTCATCAGTATGCTACAATTAACAAACGCTTTGCCCAGTCTACTCCTCATAATCTTACATGTCTACGACGTCGAAATTCCGTTACGCCCTCTCGTGGCCATACCTCGCAGGCTCCAGCTTCACATGAGTAGGAGCAGGTCGGGATATGTCGATGAAGACCGTGGGTCGCATGTTATTCATGTTACCCATGTTGTTCATGTTCGCCAGGTACTCTTTCGATTTAGGCGGCGGTAGAGGAGGCAGATCAGCAAACGCTTCAGCAACCTTCTCCGGTCGAGCGGACTTTAGTAGATCGAGAGGCGAAGAGGGGTTAATAAATAGTGTGCTCTGGACGAGGATGGGCTTTCGGCGCTTGCTGATTGCTGGCAACCAGAAGAACCATACTCGGAGAACATCCTATCGTAGAATGATACCTTCAGCTGATTCTTCAAACTTGAAACAGGGGAAGGACGTACAGGCTGTGTTCCGAAAAGGAGAAACAAAACAATGCCAGCTAGAAAAAATTGAGCATCTCAGTCAGGAAACGGCCACTGCGATGAAAGCAGAAGAGCGCTACCTGTGGCAGAATACATATCTGGAAAGACAGAACCGGGATACACGGTCGAAACTAAGTTGATACTAGAAAAGCGTATGATATCAGAGCACGATCTTCGAGGGTAGAAACGATCCAACGTACACAATCCCCGCAGTGACATAGATTGCAAAGCCCAAAACCCGAAAAACAAGCTGGAAATCCGCCATCTTCCATCGTCCTGCGCTGCGGAGGCCGCGCCAGGTGCGGTACACGATTAAGGCGAGTTGTACTGCGCGGGGGTTCGGCGTGAGTTGACCGACGATCCGCGTTTTGATAGAAGGAAAGAAGGGGAGTGAAGGAGGATCTTCACCTTCTATAGCAACGATCCCTAGGCAGATGAAGAAAACGATGGCGCGCCTCCCGTTATCGCTGTAAGGATGGGAGAAGATGAGCCATCCTTCTATCGCGCTCTTGGCACACTGATGATGATGGACTCACAGCGGTGGGAAGTCGAGAGAACAGTAGAAAGTGGTTCTGGCTCGTGTGACTTTATCCGGACGCTCGGTGGCAAGCTGCGATGAAACGCATGAGCGAAAACGAAGGGACACAGGTTCCTCGTATTTGACGTACGAAAAATGCCGCCAGAGTGAAGACGAACCATGCAACGTACGGCGAGACGAGTGTCTTTACCGAGCACATCAGAAAAGAGACAGAAAGTCCTGATGATAACTGCAACGTACAACGACGAGTTTTGCAGTGGTCTCCTGCTTTGCCTCCCCTTTGAGTGATTGGACCATGTACGACAGCATGACGAGGATGGCGACCGACCACCTGTCGCATGTCAGATCAGAATAACTTGACATACTGATGAATACAACTCACATCGGTATCGTCCCAAATAGCAACGATGCCTGAGCGATACATACAGCCTTGTCAGGCTCAGGACCAACATGTTCCTTGACATAAAATCTACATCACCGCCAACAGTCAGTTGCTGCGCCGCTCGTCACGCCACCAAATATGCTCACAAAATGACTGCAAACTGCCCAGAAAATATCCAAGTAATAAACAGGTTGACAAGCGTAGGATGCCGCTTGACGCGTGAAGAGACAAGGAACGTGATGACGAGAGTTAGAGGGAGGACGGTGTTGACGATGATGTTGAGATATATCCAGCTGAGGAGGAGATCGGACGCAGCCAGGCTCCGACGAAGAATAGTGTGTTCATGTCCTGCTAGCCCTGTAGAGTGTATATCGATAAGGAACCACAGACGGTCAGGATAGATATCGAAGCTAGGGGACGCACCAAAGAACGAAAAAGGGGCCATAGGTCGAATTATAAGAAGAAAATGCTGCTAGTACATGCTACACTCTGCCAGCAGCGAGCGAGAGGAGGAATTAAACGGCACGTAGGATGCGGGGGAGTGGGAGGGGCGACCGAGTTTTGAGGAAAGGTCGAGACGATCGACGACGACGAAGGCGCCATGATATACACTCGCGCACGCGCGGTTGCTGGGATACCGAACGGCGAAACGGGAGACGGAGTTGATATCGCACTCAGGACCCGTAGTAGGTGCTTCGGTAAGCAAGGAGCATATCACTGTATCAGGCATTCAAATTCCATTGAATACCACCCGAGGTCGCCGTTGGCAATATAGTTGTCTGCAGTGGGTATTCAAGAATATCTTCAAGAACACCAATAGGAATTCAAACATACTGCGTTGAGCGCTTGAACCGTCACCTTCAGGTGCACCCATAGCCATTAAAGGATGAGATAAAGCTCCTAGCTCATCGAAGCTGATTGGCGTCGGAGGGTTCTAGGTTGTCAGGTAATGCATAATGCATAATGATTCGGTCGATGTCTTGGTCGAGTCTTCTTTCTGAGAGTCATATGTTTGAACAAGTCTTGGGAAGTTGAAAGCATGCTGCAGGAACCGGGATGTGACGAGCCGTAACTTTCTGCAAGATTCAAGAGGTGTTGCTTGGGGAACCTCGAGCAAAGTGAAAATAACCACTGGGATGAGCGCTAATGCCAAGGCCCGTTGATTGACAGATCCTCGTTGGCTCATCATAACAGTCACGTGATCCTTGAGCGGCATCATGACGTCATAAGAGGCTCTTCTATGAGGTGATCAATATTCATTGCCAGTGCCCTCCTGATATCTGTATGGACCTTTTTCGGCCACTTTTTGGGCGCTGTGGTGGAGGTCTCCTTCGTCTGGAGGCGTCGGGATAGGCACATAAGAGTATTTGGCGCAACGGGTGTTGTAGAGGGTAACCAGCTAAGTTACGTTGTTGCGACAGGCTCCTTTCCGGGTTACTATCTACTTCGAGAATATTGGTTGCCAAAATTGGCAAATGCGCCATCGCGCAGTAATGACGCAGCCATGATGGTCGAAGATCAGTAAGTAAACCTTTGCAAAAGGGACAGCTGCTAGTGATTTGGTCGGAGAAGGGGAGCAAGGATGGAATGTGAACTATTGGGGCCCAACCACCCATCAAACCGGGTCTCCTTTCTTTGCTAACCAAGCCAAAATTTGCGCTCGTTTTGCAGTTCCAAGATCACATCGGCAAAGCAAAACACCAGCTACCGCTTATTGCACATCATTTACACAAGTGGTTCCACAAAGCGCTCGTAGACCCTCATCGCCGCATCTAATCTCCCGTAGGCAGACTCCTATATAGGTAACAAAATTAGGAGAAACATACGAAGAGCCTTCGTCGCCTCTGCACTATCGTTTCAAGTTTGGGGCGCAGGAAACGGATAGAACACCTTCATGATTATCGAACAACCTGGGTTATGGGCGTGTCCGGAGAAGCATCACACACGTCCTGTCCAAAAAATCAATAGTTGCAGTTGGGCATTCGTATATTTAGACGTACGTCGCGTTTCTCTTCCAACCTCCTGTGCCTCCACCAGCGCAAGCTCACTTCTACCGATTCCCATACCTGGGGCACTAGAACACTAGACAGCACCATGCCCTCAGGCTCAATCCCAACATGGCTTTTACCTCCCTCGATGAAATGTTCCCTTCGGCTGGCGAGTGTCATCATCGACCGCGATGGGTACTTCGTCCGGTGGAGTACGCTTCCCACTGAACAGACTTCCCAACTTCGAGAAAATACCAGGCGTTGTGGAGAATTGCCAGACCGATTCGCCCACACGCCACAAGGACAGGGCGACGAACACGATTTGCCAGGGGGTGCTTTTGACGAATATCTTCGCGGGTCCGGTCGTGTTCCCGATGCAATGAAGCCTTGACGGTGCAGCGGTGATGACGACCCAAATAGTAACCGCAAAAGCTCCATGCACCAGACGAAAAAGCCACAGGCTGGCCTTCATCAAGCCTTCATCCGTTTAGTGACTAGAATGTCCACAACGCGATCGGACGAACGACCAGGCAACGCCTTCTTCACCGCCCAGTCGACAATGCCATAGCTAAAGATGAGCGGGCCCTCGAGGGCCCAAGTCAACTGGAGGACGAGCAAAGCATCAGAAAGGGTCAAACTCCTCCAGAGGCGAGCGAGGGCGGTCGTTCCAGCGACCAAGAGAAAGATCATGGTTCCCTGGTAAAGATCAAACGCCCACTCCGCCTCCGCTTTGTTGATTTCGCCGTTGGCCACGGATAGCGCAGCGGCGATGGTGCTGAGGAAAGCATGGATGAAGACCGCCGACTGCGCCCCAATGACCTCGATGCCTGTCAGCGACGGCGACGCATGGGGATATTTCTGGCGGAGTCGACGTTGATTCTGGCCACAGCATATTGGGGAGAAACATGAGCTGAATGGATGCGCTAGCTATCCAGCTTGCGGTTATTCTCCCAACTGAACTCAGGAGAGGGAATACCTTCGCCTAGCCTATATAGTATAGCTGAACCGACGGTTTGTTCATTCCTCAACTAACAACACTGAACTCACCTTCTCGTGGACAATTATGGCTGCGTCGGTGGTCAGCAGGAGATAGGGGTCTGGATTTGTCTTACTTGCGTAGCACACGTCTCCCAGCCCGATCGTAAAATGCTCTTTTTGGATATCGATATCGTTTCGCCATCACCTCGCCTCACCTCCTCCCTTCAACCCGCTGGATCGTCCGAAATTCTAAACCCTAGAAAAAATGATACGAGTAGGGTAGTACATTTCGTGGCAAGTATTAATCGATACAAGTGATGCTAAGCATGCATGTATGTACGTCGACCTTGGGTTTGCGATATGATATGGTAGTGTAAAGTATCGAGCAGTAACCAGTCTATATGAGTGAGAAACGAGAGTAGAAATCCTCCGTCCGCCATGAGGTAGAGAGAATGACCGAGAGGAATGAACGTTGAACGTTGACAAGGGAAAGCTGCGATGAGGCCAACCAGAGCGCACAGCGCTTTTACCCTGCTGGTTATATGCGTCCGTTCGACGGTCAAGTTGCAGTGACTCGACGGAGGTAGCTCCAGCCGAATTAACGCCATGCACGGCACCGACTGACCCCTTTCCATGCCTGAAGAAAGGAGAGACCGAATATTAGAGCAACTTTAGATCCATCCTCACCCGTTCCACTCCCAGCTTCCCATGCCCGGGCATGGGCGCTCATGTTGCAAAGTAGATCTCATGACCCTGACCACCACTTGCCGATCTTGGCCGAGGAGTAGCGTATGCTCTTGCCGACACCGGCGCTGACGATGCCTTTGAGGGTCTGTATAGTCGCTGGGTACCGCACGATATTGGCCATCTCTGAAGACAGGGAGAAAATACAAAGAAAAAAAAGGGGGAAGAAAATGATCAGTACCAGGACGACTAGTGAAGGTGAAGGCAACTCACCCTCGTTCAATACCCTCCTTAGCACTTCCTCATCGCCCGCAAGCCTCGCCCAATATACCCCTTCGTCCTTCTCCAACTCGGCCTCTACGCCCCTCTGCCGAAAGTTCGCCTTCACCCTCTGCACCAGCCCATCCGGGAGCTTCCTCAATAGCGCCGCCCTCGCTCTCGGACTCGTATCCTGTTCAATAACCTCCCGCTCTATAGGCCAATGCACCCCTGGCAACCCGACCACCAGCCGATGGTACAGCTCCTTGAACTGCGGTCCCTGCTTCCTCACGATGTTGCCCACCTTACCACGGTTCTCCGCGGGGAGGAGCATGCGCGGGTCGCCGGCGTAGGAAATGGACGCGATCCGGGCGAAAAGATCTTCCTGGGGAAAGGAGGCGGGTAGGGTGAGCAGGGCAGCACGCACGGCCGAGGTTAGGTTGACTTGTTGCGTCAGTCGAACGCGAGCGTCGTCTTTGATGATTCGGAGGGGTTTGTGCATCCGGCCTGCGAGGTAGAGCGTCCGCCAGTTGAGCAGGTCCGAGCAGAGGTTGTCGATCGTCGTAACGCCGTACTTGATCGTCTGGGGTGAGGGAAGACAAACAGTGGGAGGGCCGAGAGGAACAAGCAGTCCGAGACACGACAAAAATCGAGAAAAGCAAGGGAAAGAGAAACAGTCAGTTCGAGACAAGACAAAATCAAAGAAAGCACGGACTCACCACATCCTTCATCGGGACGTATGCGTTAAACCAGACCCCAGGGCCAAGCTCCTGAACGCGTGAGACATACGACGAGCCCAGCGCGCGGGCATGGAGCGGGTAGTGGCTTGGGTGCTGCTGCATATTGATCGAGTGCCAGTGCGCCGGGTGCGTCACTGCGAACATGAAGTCGAGCATCGGGGCGTCTGCTCTTCTGCTCGGTACCACACTCGTCGACGGCCCTACTGACCCCGATGCTGACGGAGCCTTCGACGATGACAGTGCATACCCATCCTGCTCAAACACCCCTGACCCATACGCAAACGCATATCTAATCGGCGCCTCAAACCCTCCCACGATGCTCTCTAGCAGGGCCCTCGTCGAGTCCGTGACGGGGAGGAGCTGGTTGCGACCAAACGTTGGCGGTAGCTTGGGCAAGAGCGGATTCAGGCTCGGGGCATGGCGGTGGGAGACGGCTGGTCGGGGATGAGGGTATAACCGGGGCTTTGCTGACTTTTGCTTCGACAGTGGGAGAGGGGGAAGGTCGCTTCCGGAGGTACTTGAGGGACTGGAGGAGGATGATTGGGAGGAGGAGGAGGGTATGGATTCGGTGGCGAATGAACGAACGACGATAATGCGCAGAGCAGGAGAGTGGCCTGCACTACGGGCGACACTGGGCAGGACGGACATGATGGAGAGGAGTAGAAAGAAAGGCGGAGCCAAGTTATACGCCTACGCAGGACCCCCAATCAGCGGCACGTGCCCGCATCCAAAAATAAATTACCCCCGTGGGAATTGAGATGCCGGACGTAGACTTTTTGCCGTCGGCACGACAGGGTTTTCAATGAAACTGCATTGAACACCTTTTTCCCTCTATGAATGGCGCTGAGGCAGGTCTGGCGAGTGACAGCATTAGATTAACGATGGTAGACTAGGGTAAGAGGGATAGGTGTATGGAATGGCAGTGTGCTGGATGTAATATATGGGCGGAAAGCCCGAAGGCTTTCGTGCCCGGCAGGAGCTCCTGGTCTGTGAAAGAAGCCAAGATGAGCGCGATTCCCAATTGTTAGGAGTCCTGCGACGCATCGAGCGAGTCTCGAGCCCACTCTGCTAGGAGCATGACAGGGGTTGCTTACCTGATTAGTGGCGGCGTAGTGGAGGTATGGTTAGCCTGATAAATTCTTCCTGGCGGACTGGGTCTGCTTGCATGTATGGTGCGAGGATTTGGGCATGCTTCCTGAGGTAGACGAGGAAGGCGTCACTTGCCCACCTTCCCTTTGCTTTCATCACATCGAATGGAATCCCCCTCAGGAGGTACTCGAGTGTTGACCCAATCCTGATCCCATGGCCTTGAAGTGGCTCTAGGCCAGCTGCTCGTGCTGCGGTGGTGAGAATTTGAATGAACTTGTGCTTTGTCAGTGGCTTGTATCCTGAGCCTACTTTGTACGCAAAGAGGTGGCCACCATTTGGCGGTGAGTTGACATCTATGTGATTGTGGAATGCAGTCTCCGGGTCTGTGTCTCCGTTCTGTCTCGACCATGAGACTGTCTCTCCGTTGGTGGGTTCAGACTTTGTGGAGGGGATGAAGAACTCGGTTGTTTCGAAGCCGTTCTGGTCTGTCGTGGTTGTAACGTTTGAGGGTTTGACATGTTTGTTTGCGTCGAAGCTTGTCAGGTTTTTGACCGTGAACTCACCAACTCGGGCAGCTGACCAGAATGTGGTTGTCAAGCAGGCATAAACGGCAGCATGGAGGGGCGTTGAGAGGTCTAGCTGACCGCGAATAGCAACCATGAAATCTTTTGTGTATGGCTGGCGTTTCTTCCTCTTTGACGTGGGTGGGGTTGCTTTTTCTGTGGCCTTGAGCAGTGCCTCCAGTTCAGGGTCGACCATCTTCCATGGGACCCCATGCAGGATGTGCCATGCCCAGATGCCATAGACGTAGTTGGCGATGGTGCCACCAGAGAAAGCACCTGAGAGGGTGGCTATGAGAGAGGCGATGAGGAGGGGTGAGGCTGGGGCCCTCTGATCCTCACTAACTCCGTTCTTGTCGCAGAAGGCGTGCCAGGTGAGGAGGCCTGTCCCATAGACTTCCAGAGTCCCATCCGCCCACGCCCCGGCCATTACCTCGAGAATGCGGGCCAGGTCTTCAGCGGAGAGATGGGTGGGCCGGCCCTGGTTGTCAGTGGCAGTACGGACCGTGGTTGGTCTCCAACGTGTAAGCCGTTCTCGAGCAAAGACGTGTGGGCAGAGTGTGGATGGTACTGGTGTGAGGTCAGGAGGGTACGGCGCAGGTTTTCGTGAAGCTCGAGCCCGTGTGTGGTCACGCACTGGCCCTCCATTTGTGCTTCGGTGCTCTGGAGAGAAGCGGTGCCGCTTGGTTGCTGGCTTGGAAGTGGGCGAGGATTTCTTCTTCATGG